TCATATAATTATGATAAAAAATTCCTTGATTTCTATTTTTCAAAATTTAATGATTTAAAACTTTCATTAAAAGCATCCATATACTCTTTAAACTAGATTTAATCTTTAAAATTTTAAGAAGTTTTTAGACGGTCAATTTTATTCAAAATACTTTCTTGATATTTTTTTTTTCTTTTTTCATCTAATAATGTAAATTATTCAGATTTTAATTTATAATCAAGTGGATTTTCATTAGGGTTATTATTGTTTATTGCAAGTAAAAACTTTTCATAAAAATATCTAGCATCCAAAGGTTTTTCAAATTCAAAACGCTCTACTCCATGAGTTTTCATCTGCTTTTCTAAATCTTTAATTTTCCAGAATTCTTTAATTTTAATATTTTTACTGGTTTTTAAATTTTCAGCAGGTATTAATTTTAATTGTTCATTATTAAAAACTGATTAATCCAAAGCAAAAGAGGAGATTTTCTACAACAATTCAAGATATTTATTAATATTAGCAGAAATATTTTTATCTTCTTAAATAAATAGCTTTAATAAATTTTGATTATCTTTTAACTAATTTAATTCTTTTTCATTAAGAAAATAAATTAAATTTGGGTGAGGATCTTTATTTTAGTTTTACATTAAATTAATAGCTTATTATCTATGCTCAGCTTATAAAATTAAGTATTTTGCTTTTTCCTATACATTACCATTATATTTATTTTTATTTTTATCTTTATCTTCACCATTACCATTATCATCACCATTATCATTACGATTACCATTTTCATAAATTTCTTTTTAGATTGATATATATATTTGTAATTATTTATTTTATAATTCTTTGAGAAGTTTAAAATCAAGTCCTTTTTTAAAAAGTTCTAGATTTTGCTATTCTAATTTTGATTCTAATTATATTTTCAATTTTTTCCATATTTCTATTAATTCTTAATAAATTTGTTCACTATCATCACTCTATTTAAGACTTAGATCGACTTATTCAATTGAAATATCTTTAAAAATATAGTCCTTTAGTATTTGAGCTATATTTTTTAATTCTTTATCTTCCTTACACTTATTATTAATTTCATGTATAGAGATTTCCTTATTTTCAATTTTCAAAATACTAAACTAAAATAAGATAACAATATCCTCCCTATACTTTTAAATATTGTGTTATTTATTCCCATTCTTTTCATCTTTGTAATTAGTAGGACAAATTTTATTTGTTGCTTCTTCAAGTTTCTTCAGATTTAAATTCCTATCAATTGGGAGTTTATAGTTTTAAATACATCCAAAAATCGTTAAATAAAGTTAATTTGCTTAATAGAATATATTTTTATATTTAAGGTAAAATATTTTTGGATCATTTTTCTCCATATCACTCATATGTTAGAAAATATTTTTGAATTTAATGAATTTATCTATATTGTCATTGATTTCTTAAAAGGAAACTATATCACTAGTATATCCATCTTTAGTTTATATTGTCATATAGATAATTTTATTCTATTAAGTTACTTAATAAGCATGGTCAATAATTTTGAGATATTATTTGAACTTTGAGGCTAATTCATTTTGAAGTACAATTTCTTTTTCAATTTCTGCTTACCATTAAAGAGGTTCAGATTGATTCATTTCCCATTTGTAAATTATTTAACTACTATTTTTATCAAAGAATAAACATTTAGAGTTTCTTATAGACTTTAGATCATTAATTTTTCCATGATCCCTCTCAAAATCTTAAAGGGATTTATTTTAACTCATAAAAATTTATAATGAAATAATTTAAAAAAAAATTTGCTCAAGAATTAAACTTTATATTAAAATAATTATATATTTATTGTGAGAGCGATAAATAGAATAATAAATAAGTTATTGAAGATAACTCAAGTCTAGTTATTTGAAAACCTTTAATTTTAATAATAATATATGTTATGATAATTGGAAGGAAAAATGAATTTTTTGAGGGTTTGCAAAATTAAGAAATATTGAAGAAAAAAATTTATTAAACATATGTTATTTGATTGGGTGAAACAGAATCTGTTTATCGATTATATATTTATATTATGTTAAATTTTATTTTTATATAATAAATAATATTAATATATTTAGTTTAATATTTATTATATGATAACATTTATTTTTCCCTTTTTTTTTTATTTTATAATATATATTAAAATTTCCTTATCTATTATTATTGATTTTTATTTGTATAAATTAAAAACTCTATATGCTAAAGTCTTTTTTCATAAACTAAATAATTTGTAAATTATTATTAATCATAATTTATATGATTTTATTATAAAACTAGTTTAAAATTTCTTATATTATTTCTAGATAGCTGTTTAAAGATATTTAATAAATGTATTTGATTATTGATTTACTAAAATGAAATATCATAACATGTAAGATATTTGCTCAAAAATTTATTCATTTTTATAAGAGCCTTAAATTTGTATATTCAAATTAAAATCTCCTTATATTCTGAGCATTAAGTTTAAGATATCAATATTTATTTCAATTAGTTTTAAGAATCACAAAATACTCAATAATTTTAAAATAATACAATATAAATTCAATTTTTTGGTTAATAATCAGATTAATTCAGTTTAAGAAATTTCTTTTTTAATTACATTGCTCAATTTTTATTGTTTACATTATCTATAGAGAATTTTAATAGTTGCTAAAAATATTATAAAAATTATTAATAATATTATTATACTTAATTAAGAAATTTCATTCTATTCAAAACTTTTTTAAATCACTTATAGGTTAAGGTTAACTTAATCTATTAATTAATTAAAATTTATATTACTTGTTCCCATTTAATCAATACTAATAACCTAAAATTCAAGTGATATTGATTCAGTATTATATTAAGATTATTTTTATAAGCTGTATCCTCCTCTTTTCCCTATAGATAATACAACAGATTAATTGTTTAAAAAATGATTTTTGAATAAATAATGTGTACTATTTAATATCTCCATTTAATCAAGTATTTTTGATGAATAAATTGAATCACAAAGGAATTCAGAGTTTTATATGTCATAAAAATATCTTGTTAATCCACATTCAAGTATAACTTCTGTTTCAGATAACAAAATATATTTGCAGGATTAAATAGATTTTGGATATCTTAGAATTTTATAATTCATAAATTCATATTTTTGCTCATTTAGATAAAGACGAATTAAGAATTATATATCATAAACTTACTTGTTGATTATAAATAATATCAAATCAAGTTATTACTTATTTTAATTATAATCTTATTTTATTATTTAAATGGAATCTTATAATATAGGAGTTCCAAAATCAATGAATAAATTTTTCATAGAAGTATTCATAATTAATATTTCAAATTTTCTATAAATTATGAGTTTGGAATTAAATAATTCAAACAAATTTATAACAATAACTTTTTAAAAAGAATTTATCATCACTTCTAAATATAAGTCTGATGTTATATGATAAATTTAACCTTAAGTATCGAAATTAGTAATATCTCCATAAATTATATCATAATCATTAATTAGAAATCTACATTCAAATTAAATTGTTTAAATTATTAAAATATTCTACATCAAGAATATATTCTTTATATTAATGAATATTTGCGTATTTAATTACTTTTATATTATAAAGAAGTTATCTTTTATTTACATTAATGATATTAGAATAGTTTAATTATTTATTTAATTTATAAATAAAAATAAATCTTACTTAATAATCTCCACAAATAGAAGATTATTAATTTACTTCTGAAAATTATAAACTAAATAATTCTCAAATAATCCAAATTTAAAAAATGTCATATATTCAAAATTATTTACTTAAAAACAAAACTTATTACAATAATATTAACATATTTAAACCATTTCTTTTTCTAAAGGATATCTTAATTAAAATTCATCATTTGATTTTAAAATAATATTGTCAATTTCTCCAAGAATAAAATTTCTAAAATTTACTTCTTGATTATTATTATTAATCAATAAATTATAATCTGTTTATATTAATTTTAAAATCTTTGGATTAATGAGTGTTATCATAATATCCTTTTTAAAAGGAGGTATTTCAATATTTTCTAATTCTATTTCAATTTAAATGATAATTTCTTAACTAATTTTATTATCAAATTCTAAATATTATATTTCAATATTAATGTGCAATAAATCTTAAAAAGACAATTCATTTTTGTTATCAAAATAATATATATAAAATCTCTAAACCCAAAAAAATTAATTGCTTGTTTCAATAACCTTTTATAGTAAATGCAAACTAGATTAAAAGGCACAGTTCATAATCAAAATGTAAATTTTTTTATTTATTTTATGTTAACATGAAATTATTATTTTAGATTCTAATATTTTAAATTACAAAGGTTAAACAGGAACATAATTCCCTAAATTATAATATCTAATTTTTATAAACTCAGTTGTTGAAACAACATAAAATTGTAATTCATTTTTTATTATATCTATTAACACTAAACTTGAGATTAAATTGCTTTGGGAATTACTTAGAAATCCAAGTATCTCAGCCTTAATATTAATAACTAATATATATAAATATATTTATACTTTATACAACAACTTGTTTGTGTATTAGATGTAATTAATCTTTGTACAAAACACCATAAAAATCAATTTATATTTAAAAAATATCTTAAAAATTCTAATTTTTTATTTAACCTAACATGAAATTTTATTCGATTTTTATTTAACCTAGATTTGAAAACATATTATAGAATACTGGTTAATCCTTCAATTTAAAGATGATTTGATTGTTTAAACTAAATATCTTTTCAACCTATGAGTCTAAACACAATATCTTACTAATTAATTCATTTTAATTTTATTCATCTAATTAGATTTTATATAAACACATCTTTTATTAATCTAAGAGTATTAAATTATTTGAATTTATAAATTTATGTAATAATTATTCATTTAAAGGTAAAATATTTTGATAAATATAGTCTTGTGAACTCTAACAATGATATTCTATAATATTATTCTTAGGACCTTAAACGATTATAGAATAAATAAGATCATTTTTAGTTTTAATAATAAATTTCTCTTTGTAATTTTTTAATTAATGGTTGAATATACATTTTATTTCATTATTTTTTACCTAAAATTTAATTTGATTTAATGGAGATTGAAAGTTGATTTTATAAGGTTATATTGATTAAATAGATGATGCCAAAAAACTTACTTAGAAGGATTCCTCATAATTTATTCTTTGAATATAATAAATTTAATTTTAAATATTAATAAAAATTGCATATTCCTTTTTTAATTCATCATTATCCATTATGATGGGTTTATAACATTCAATAAAGCTGATTTTCTAAAAATTTAGATTATATTTATCAATAAATTAAAGATAATAGTTAGAGTATTTTTAATTATCATTATAATATGGTAGACATGGTTTAGAATATTTAATCTAAAATAATTTAATTTAATTTTCTTCTCCTATTCCAATATAAATTCTTTAATTTGATAATTAAATTAAATGTGAAATTTTAATTGTTATAGTTTGATAAACAAGTTCATTTACATAAAAACTTACATAATTTTCATACTTAAGTAATATGCAAGGTGGATTTGAAATTTAAAAGACTTTTTATGGTAACTCTTTTGTATTAAAAATTATTTCTTAAAATTTTTTAGGAAGAGAATATATAACATAATTTTCTGATTAACTTTTCACAGCTGTTCTTAGGTTACAATGAAAATCAAATTCAAATACAATGTCTTTTAAATTTAGATTTTCTGCCTTAAATAATAGTATGAATTATTCTTTATGGTAATAATAACCACCTGAGGAAAGTAACATAAAAATATTATGTTAACATGTAAGAACATCAAGTAGAATTCCTTCTGTATTATATTTTTCACTTAATAAATTTTGATCAATTTATAATTTGAAAGAATTATTCTCATAAACATGAATTATCCATCCTTAACATGAAAAATAGATTATAAAAAATATATTAGAATAGTAGTGAAATTTTAAAAGACATGATAAATTAAGAATTTCTGATTAATATATAATTGTTTATTTGAATTATTCTTATTCCTTTTATAATTAGTAAAGTTTAATTTAATCAGATGAAAAGCAAAATATAGCGAAACCTATTTTGTTATAATCAAATTAGGAACAATTAAAGTTTTATTCTGTTTATATTAAAATATTAAACTGATTGTTAATTTGTATGATAATCTGATTATCTATGATATAAGTTGGTTGTGTTGAAATACAATTTATAGAATAAGTATTTAATTGAGGATTATAAATAAATGAACAAATTTCATTTTCATCAATAAGTTCTCTAAATTTAATAGAAATAATTATATCATCCTTTGAATATAATATTGGTCCATTTGAGATTTAAATTAAGTCTTCATAACTCTATAATGTATTAATATTAGTTAAATTATCACTTCTTTATCCAACAAAAAAAGTATTTATTTCTCTTAATTCACAATATTTTTCATTTTATTTTAATAAAACAGTTTAACATTACTTTTGATCATTATTTGATTAAACCTTGTGAATTAAACATAAGATAAACAAAACAGTTTATAATTGTATAAAATTTAGAGTAATCATTCTAAATAATATATATAATAATTATTTTAATAATGGAATATAGAAAATAAAGTCTTAAATATTATATAAAATATTATTAATATAAAGTAAATATTTTATATTATTAATATATATAATAAACAAAATTAACTATTTTATTTTATATATAATAGTATATTAATTAAAAATAAATCATATTTTAGTTTCATAAATAAATACTTTAAAAAGTAGAGTGGCTATGTTTGTCACCTTTTATAATCTTTGTTTGTAATTTATTTTAAGCTAAGATTAATCTATCATCTATTCGAACTGATTTTCAGATTACAAATGCAAATCAATACTTGTAATATACTTTAGTGTATCACCGAAATGTGAGTCAGATAATGTAATCATAAAATATATTTTACCACCAGGTTTAAGTAATGACATGGCTAATTAAAGAGCTTCTTTTGGTTAATTAAGTAATAGAAATGAGGAAGAGAATACAATAGTATCAAATTTTCCAAAGGTTTCTGAGTTCATTTAGTAGAAATCTAACTCATATAATTTTACTTAAGGTTTATCTTTAAATAAGTGATTTGCCTTTCTTAAATAATTATGATTGATATCTATGGCAATAATCTCACAATTTAATGGGAATCTATTTAAAGCTTAATTCAAAGGAACTCCAGTACCAACTCCTACATCTAAGATTCTTTATTATTATCCTGTTAGTCTTTCACATAATTTCTCATAGGTTAAGGAAGTAATGGGATGAGATATAAACATATCATATATTGTAGTGCTAGAATAATCTACAACATCTTTTATTGTTGAATAGATTGCTGAAAATGAATTTCTTGCAATAGAATGGATCATATAAATTATAATAATGTAAATTAGATTAAATGCTACAATTTATATAGTAATGCAATTGTTATTAAATACGTATTATGAGAATTAAGATTTAATGAATAATTAATGAGTTTATACACATTATATATAAAATATAATAATAATGATTTCTAAATTAAATGAAAATAATCTTAACACTAATTCTCATCTACAGAAATGCTATAAATGGATATCTAGTAGCTTGTAATACTTTATCTTAGATTAATTGTTAAAATTCAGGCTATTGTTAATGGATATCAAGTTCATGTAGATCACTTGAATGCCATAAAGTAACAGAAGTGAGAGCATGTTCTGGAAAATTATTAGGAAACTTATATTAGAAATAACTTTGTAAAGTTGCTCAAAATATTGATCCAAAATTTTTGAATTTATGCATTGGATATAAGTAGGATACAATAAAATGGGGATATTTAGTATACCCATAAGACAATACTCAAAAATCTACTTATGTAGCATCTAGTGGCTAATTAATTAGTTTAATAGCCACAAAAAAGTATCCAGGATAATTCAAATCAGAAATATTGACATTAAATATATTGAAAGCATAAGCAAATGATCTCATAAATATTATGTATGGATATCTATAATAAACAAATGAATTATGTGATAGAGAAATACCTATATCATTTTTAGAGAAAGCAATTTATGAAAGCATGTAATAAATAAGAGATGATGAAACTATCACATTTACTTCAAGTACACCAACAAAAACTGATTATTATTTGGCTTTATGGGGAATGACTGATGCATTCTTTTTAAAATTAAGATCATAAAAAATTAGTTAATATATTTCTTATAAATATTTGATAAATTTTGGATTTGCTAATTTGTAGATGGAGAAATTATGTTTAGATACACAATTTGAAGTATTTGAGTTAACTTGGCAATATTAATAATCTGGATATATTGAAGTATTGATTATGCCTGGTGAATAATTTGGATTTGATTTAATACATTCTAATGTTATTATAATAAGGATATCAGATTTAGATGGTCAAAATATGAGTAGTTAAATATAATTAAAATGGATTCATCAATCCTAAAAAATATTTATTTCTAAATAGATCATTCAAATAGATATAACTAAAATGTCTATTATAAATAATATTAGTGGAACTTGTACGTAATTAGGTTGTGTGGCATCATTAATTTTGAATGAAAGAAAAGCATATATAATTGGTGATTCAACAATCAAAAATTGTGTAGGAAGATCTTAATCAGCATGTAGACTTGGTGAATGTACTTGGAATGATTCTACAGGTATTTGTTCATGAAAATAGATATAAAATTTATTATTAAATATAATATATATAATTATTTAGATGATGCAATTCATTATATTAAGTTTGTCCTTAGTACAAATAATCAATGCAGCCTTCGCNTATATAATAATTATTTTAATAATGGAATATAGAAAATAAAGTCTTAAATATTATATAAAATATTATTAATATAAAGTAAATATTTTATATTATTAATATATATAATAAACAAAATTAACTATTTTATTTTATATATAATAGTATATTAATTAAAAATAAATCATATTTTAGTTTCATAAATAAATACTTTAAAAAGTAGAGTGGCTATGTTTGTCACCTTTTATAATCTTTGTTTGTAATTTATTTTAAGCTAAGATTAATCTATCATCTATTCGAACTGATTTTCAGATTACAAATGCAAATCAATACTTGTAATATACTTTAGTGTATCACCGAAATGTGAGTCAGATAATGTAATCATAAAATATATTTTACCACCAGGTTTAAGTAATGACATGGCTAATTAAAGAGCTTCTTTTGGTTAATTAAGTAATAGAAATGAGGAAGAGAATACAATAGTATCAAATTTTCCAAAGGTTTCTGAGTTCATTTAGTAGAAATCTAACTCATATAATTTTACTTAAGGTTTATCTTTAAATAAGTGATTTGCCTTTCTTAAATAATTATGATTGATATCTATGGCAATAATCTCACAATTTAATGGGAATCTATTTAAAGCTTAATTCAAAGGAACTCCAGTACCAACTCCTACATCTAAGATTCTTTATTATTATCCTGTTAGTCTTTCACATAATTTCTCATAGGTTAAGGAAGTAATGGGATGAGATATAAACATATCATATATTGTAGTGCTAGAATAATCTACAACATCTTTTATTGTTGAATAGATTGCTGAAAATGAATTTCTTGCAATAGAATGGATCATATAAATTATAATAATGTAAATTAGATTAAATGCTACAATTTATATAGTAATGCAATTGTTATTAAATACGTATTATGAGAATTAAGATTTAATGAATAATTAATGAGTTTATACACATTATATATAAAATATAATAATAATGATTTCTAAATTAAATGAAAATAATCTTAACACTAATTCTCATCTACAGAAATGCTATAAATGGATATCTAGTAGCTTGTAATACTTTATCTTAGATTAATTGTTAAAATTCAGGCTATTGTTAATGGATATCAAGTTCATGTAGATCACTTGAATGCCATAAAGTAACAGAAGTGAGAGCATGTTCTGGAAAATTATTAGGAAACTTATATTAGAAATAACTTTGTAAAGTTGCTCAAAATATTGATCCAAAATTTTTGAATTTATGCATTGGATATAAGTAGGATACAATAAAATGGGGATATTTAGTATACCCATAAGACAATACTCAAAAATCTACTTATGTAGCATCTAGTGGCTAATTAATTAGTTTAATAGCCACAAAAAAGTATCCAGGATAATTCAAATCAGAAATATTGACATTAAATATATTGAAAGCATAAGCAAATGATCTCATAAATATTATGTATGGATATCTATAATAAACAAATGAATTATGTGATAGAGAAATACCTATATCATTTTTAGAGAAAGCAATTTATGAAAGCATGTAATAAATAAGAGATGATGAAACTATCACATTTACTTCAAGTACACCAACAAAAACTGATTATTATTTGGCTTTATGGGGAATGACTGATGCATTCTTTTTAAAATTAAGATCATAAAAAATTAGTTAATATATTTCTTATAAATATTTGATAAATTTTGGATTTGCTAATTTGTAGATGGAGAAATTATGTTTAGATACACAATTTGAAGTATTTGAGTTAACTTGGCAATATTAATAATCTGGATATATTGAAGTATTGATTATGCCTGGTGAATAATTTGGATTTGATTTAATACATTCTAATGTTATTATAATAAGGATATCAGATTTAGATGGTCAAAATATGAGTAGTTAAATATAATTAAAATGGATTCATCAATCCTAAAAAATATTTATTTCTAAATAGATCATTCAAATAGATATAACTAAAATGTCTATTATAAATAATATTAGTGGAACTTGTACGTAATTAGGTTGTGTGGCATCATTAATTTTGAATGAAAGAAAAGCATATATAATTGGTGATTCAACAATCAAAAATTGTGTAGGAAGATCTTAATCAGCATGTAGACTTGGTGAATGTACTTGGAATGATTCTACAGGTATTTGTTCATGAAAATAGATATAAAATTTATTATTAAATATAATATATATAATTATTTAGATGATGCAATTCATTATATTAAGTTTGTCCTTAGTACAAATAATCAATGCAGCCTTCGCTCTAATAGATTGCGCCTCATTAACTAATGCAACCCTTTGCATGTAGTCAGGAAATTGTCAGGTAAGCAGCTTTGGAGCTACAATTACTTGTTAACCTATTACAGATTGCTATAGAGTTAGTGAAGTTTAAGCTTGCTTATTAACTCCAGCAGCAAACTCAATATCTGGTTGTGTACCTTTGAACATAGACTATAAATATGAAAATGTTTGTGTAAAAACAGGAGAAACCAGTGTTCCAAATGGACTCCTTAGATTTAGAAGATAAGCAAATATAACTAGATCACCAGATATAACATTGTCAGAAACTCCAGTTTCAGTATTGACAACTACAACTACTCCATAAAAATACACTTATTAATTATTTACATTAGACATTCTTCTAGCATCTCCTACTTAATTGGCTGCTATTTTAGATGCATTCAATCATGGAATTAATTAATTGATTACAGATGCAGTATAACCAAAATTTTTGGAAAAGGCTGTCATTGAAACTTTTTAAAATATTAGAGTATATATATTTTTATTAAATTTAGGATGATGTGACATATACACAATCTACGAGATCTACTTAATTAGGCAAAGCTTGGGATTTAGTTAATATTCTATTCTAAAGGTATTAAAACTATAAAGCATATTATGTTTAAAACTATGATTTTATAAATTTTGGATTTTCAGATTTAAATAGATAAAAACTTGTAATAACAACAAAGACCTATGAAATTGAATTAACATGGGCAACTTATGCTAACAATGGATATATATATGTTATGACATTGGCTCCAGAATAATTTGGAATAATTAGTATAAAACAATTATCTGATTTAATTTGGATTAAAATAGTAAAAGATGATGGTACAACTTAAGACCTTACAGCTGTTCCTGTATTTATTAAATATACCTGGGTCAATACTGCAACCGAATACTCTGCTGTCTATTCTTAAACATTTAACAAAGTATTTTCATCAGCCTTTGCACCAGCTGCAAATACAGCAGTTTCAGTAACCTGTGTTTATCCAACTACATCAACGACTTATTGCCCTTCATTTGCTGTTCCAGTTGCAGCATTAGATTAATTAATGATATTTCATCATGATACAATTCAAGATTGCACAGCCCTTACAGGAAATTAACCATATTTTAGATTAGCAAGATGTTGATGAAGAATATAAATATCAATATCAGACAAATATTATTTTATATTTTCTATAATATAATTATGATAATACCTATTTTATTAATCACAAATTTGATTACATCATCTGCTGTTTATACATTGGTTGGAGAAACTCCATGCTCAGGATTAGCAAATGCAGCTTGTACTGCAAGTGCAATTTCTGGATTTGGATATTGTTATTGGGAAACGTAATTTATAAAACAATTATTTTTATTTTAGAAATTGTTAAACCCTACCATGTTATATGATTGATGAAATTGCTGCCTGTAGAACAGGTTCTGGATTACCTACTGGAGGTGCATCTACTCTTTGCGATTCTTTAGAAACATTTAGTTTATAATATGATAATGTTTGTTGTGATAAATCAGAAGGATAATTAAATTATGCTTTTGTTAGATTTGCTAAAACCACAGATGGCTTTTATGATAAAGCAAGTGATGGATCAACTACATTAACATCTCTAAACTAATAAACTTCAGCAATTATCTTTTAATTATATACAGTAAATCCATGGAAAATTATGCCATCATTTTATAGTTTGCCTACAGCAACTGATTTTGAATCATAATTAGGAGCAATTTTAAATTAATATAAATTTTTAGCTCCTGCATTACAAACTTAGTCAGATTCACATCCTTTTTATATAGAAAGAACTGTGTATTAATCATTACAAATGTTAAGAGTATATAATTAATTATCAATCTTAGGATTTCCTTGTTTTATAAACATCTCCATAAAATACAATGAGAGATAATTTAATAAAAAAAATATGGTCAGTTACCCTTATAGCATTATTTAGAATGGTCAAATTTTAACCTAATTATTATTCAACAAATTATTATTTTATCAATTTTGCCATTATTCCTTATTCAAGAAATTCAATCACACTTAATGGACAACAACATACAACTAAAATTGATTGGACAGGTTATTCTTATAGTTAAAATGGATATTTAATGGTGTATTCATTTCCTCCTGAAATATTTGGAATTAGAAATGCTTACTCAGATGTTATCTGTTTAAGACCAATAATTGGAAGTTCACCAGTTTATGATGCTAATGAAAATACTTTTGATACTGGTTTCAAACCATTAACTTTCACATGGTCCTGGACTGACCCTTCATTAACTGTTGTTGCTGCCAATCTTAAATTATTTAAATTTCCTATTGGTGATGCTTTAGAAACTGGAATTACTTAAGAAACTGCCACCTTTACTTGTTATATGAGTGCTAAATATTGTGTCTCTTCTAGTGTAACAGCTACACCTCCTAATACAGGAGTTAATTATTATATCACCACTGGATTAGGAGTTACTGCAGATAAAAATAAGGTATAATGTAGATTGTAAGGAAAATCATGGTCAGGTACAATTTGTTCTTGAATATCAAATTATTAATAAAGTTAAAATTAATTATATTGCCTTAAAACTTAAAACTCTTAGTTATTTAAAAGCCTTTTTGATTAATTATATTAAATTATTAATGATTTGCCTTTCTGAAAGGAAGATTTCCATTCATCAGAATAAAGGATTGATTTAGTTACCTGAAATATCTAAATCTTAAGAACTTCTTGTATTTTTAACATGTCATCAATTTAGAAATTAAACAATAGAGCGTTATAATCAAGTAAGGTTAAGAAATAAACAAAACCACAATCCCCAAATTAAGACATATATTACTTAAAATTACCTGCAATTAACAAGAAAGCTTTAGATTAAACAGACAACTTTTTCAAATTATCTAAATCCCAAGTATAAACTTAAAAAATGTATAATATAATTGCTAACATTAGACTTTAAGGAGATACTTCACTGGACAATATTAGCAAATATAATAAAAAACTACAAGATATCTAAAACAAACATAATCATTACATTAATAAAATTGAAGAGCTATATATGATTACTAAATAACACTCATGAAATCATAGTTTATGTTATTAACTTTAATAAATTATTTATATTATTAAATTTAATAAATATTATCTATTACTTAGTATTGCTAGATATATATTGTCTTCTATCAGACTTTATCACTTTAACAAATAATTATTACTCTAAGTTTGTTCAATATCTGATTTTAGTTGTTGAATTTTCTATTTAATGACTCATTCATAAATAGATCTCCTTTTTTCGACTCTAAATCATATGAAATCATCATCATAATTAATATAAATTTTATAAACATACTTTGTATAATTTTAATAGAATTTGAAATATTTATATGTTTTCTATTAACAATAGGAGTTAGTAATAACCATATTATTAATGATAAATGACCTGCCTTTGCCAGAATAATTAAATGACCTGCCTTTGCTACAATTATTAAATGATCTGTCTTTGCTAAAATTATTAAATGAACTGCCTTTGCTAGAATAAATAAATGAGTAAAATTAGAGTGCCTTATTTTCTAAAAAGAGATTCATTTAAATAAAAAAGTAATTCCTTTATATGATGAAGAGTATTGAATTCTGTTCTAGAAAATATAAATAATCTTATAGAGCCCTTTATAACTTTAAAAATGAAGAAATCTATTAACGAAAAAGAAGTTAAAGAATTGAATTTAGGGTACAAAATTTAGCTAATAAATCTAAAAAAAATAATTGTATAATCTTTTGGAATTGAAATGGCCTTTGTCACTCCAATATCCAGCTTAAAAAATCCTTATTAATTTGGTACATTCAAGATTTTTCATTATTTCATTAGTCTTTTGACTGAATTCTATCAATTTTAAGATGGGAAATTAAACGAATTAATAATAGATTTTTAAAAATAGAATAAATATTTACTTGAATATTCTAAACATTTAGGGTTGAACTTTTTTGAAAATTAAAATTAAGAAAACATAAAGTAATTCATTAACAATTTGAAAGATTTATTTTAAAATGATACCTATCAAATATTAAAAGAGATTTTACAGATACTATGTGCAATTTTAAAATTAATTAACATTGGTATATAGAATAATTGTGAAAATAAAAATTAAAAAGAGGATTAATAATTAGATGAATGTTAAAAGGGTTCATCACAAAATAAATCCGAATATGATTAATAATCAGTTGAAAGCTAAAAGGGTTAATAATCAAATAAATCTAAAGACGATCAATCATCAGTTTAAGGTTAAAAGGGTTCAGAATAAGATGAACAAAGTGATGTAAAATATAGTCAACCTTTTACATATATTCCTGATGAAGATGAAGAAGATGATAGGATAGATAATTTGGAAATAAATCCATAAAGTGATTAAAACCACATTTTTGATACTAAAAATTAGGAAAAATCTGAGAAAGAATAATTAATAGAAGTATTTCAGAATTAATTAGATGTGTAAATAGATGGCCAAAACTAACCCTTAATCGAAAAATTGGTAGATAATTATTCAGGAAAGGCAAGTAATTTACTTCTAAATTCTAATAGAATTATTGGGTATGCATAGCATCTTTATCAAAAACTAATATAATCCTTTTTCATTTAGGTAGGATTATCTTTATCCAAGAAAATAAGATATGATTAAGAAATTAATAAAGAATATTAAGCAACTTTTCTAAGATTTCCTGATTAAATACTAGGAGGAAGTAAAGCAAGACCATATTAAACGAATTGTTATTTTATTAATCTCTGTAGGGATTTGATTAATTGTTGGTATTAAATCTAGAAATACCCAATCGAGAAGAATGAATAGATTGAAAAGAATGAATAAATTGAGAAGATGAAGGAATAATTCAAAGTTTTAGAAAACAATACTATAGAATTATAGAAATTAAATGATTAAAAAAGTATTAAGAAATTTTTTAATGATGTTAAAGTAAATGATTTCAACCTACTTGTTCAAATTAGTCATAAATCTTAAAATGACTAGAAACCATGGACTACTTATGATTTTAATGATTTTTGCAAAGTTAATCATTATGATATATCAGAGGATGATAAATAAATATTGAAGACTAGCAAACTAAACTTATTCAATGTTAAACATAATCAAAATGATAATGAAAAATTGCTTAAATAAAAAAATTCTACAGTGATTAGGGAACTTTTCTAAAAGTTCTAAAGTATTTAGAATTATAATAATGTTTATAATTATGAAATTGTTAATAATAGTTTAATCAAGGTATTGGACGATTATATTTAAAATATAAAAAATCAAGAAGTATAAGATAGGAGGAATTAGAATCAAAATAATGGCTTATATTAATATTAAAATTTTGAAGGTAGTTCATCAGATGGGTATTCTAGTAGTGGTAGTAAATCTTAAAATGTATTAGATTGATTTGATTATTTAATATACTTATGATCATAAGATAACAAAAACTTTATATTGTAATATTTTTCGATTTCTTTTTGGCTAATAGCTGAATTTAAAAGCATTCAGATAATATGAAATTAAATGATATGATTAAATAATTGTATATTGAAAAGTATGATTAGAAAAATTATGAAATAAATGAAAAAAAAATAAGAAATATATAAGATATTTTACTAAAATACAATTTAAAATGTAAATATTAATCTTATCTTAATTAAATATTTGTGATGGCTTGAATAAATCATCTAATTACACAATATTAATGATCTAAATATAAAAATAATTAATGAAATTGATAATCATTAAAAAACTTTGTTGACTTAAATTGAATCATTATACCTATTTATATTTTAATAAATATATTTATCTTAACTCTCATCATTATCTCAAGAAAGCTCATGATTTTAGATCTTATGAAGAAAAGAATTTTTTTAGAGTCTATATTGTGACGTAAATTATATAAGGTATTAGACACTAGGAAATCAAAATTATATCTAAATAATTAAAACAATAGATATACTGAATAATTGATGTTAAGCTTTATTGAACATTTTTATTTTTTTAAGACTGTTTGTATCAACTTTGATTAAAATTAAATAGATTCATATAATTCAAGTATACATATTGATGAATTTTAATGAAATCCATTTATATCTATAAATAAATTATATGGAAATAATTTGATAAAAGAATTCAATTTATGTAATAAAATTTGGACTAAATTTTAAAAAAGATTTAGTTATTTATATTTTTTAGATATATGTATATAAATAAAAAAAACTAAAATAATATTCAAGATATAATAAATAGTACAATATAATAATATATATCATTAATAATTGAGAAATTAAATAATTTTTTTTAATTTATGGGATCATCATGCAATTCAATTAAATGTGAATAAGATTCAATTGATTATGATATTCCAGAATAAGAAGGATAAATCAAAAGAATTACATTAAATTGTGTAGTAAAATAATAATACTTTGGTTTGAAAAACGACCAACAAATCTAGGACATTCTTTAAATTGAAAATAAATCACTATATATACCAATAGAATATCAATAAAATTAAATCCTTTTTCATTCTATACTCTATTAGAGTGAAATTGCTAAATCTTAAACGTTAGAATCTTCCGGAAAATATCAACCTAAGAAAAACAATAGTCTAACTTAAGTTAACAATAAAAATATTCAAAAAGAAGAATATAATCAAAAATTATAAAAAAGTAGACTTATTTCTTATTAAAACTTAAAGGAATGACTAATGAAATATTATTCATGTTTATTATTATTCAGTTATTTTTTTAATTTATTAATAATTAACAATTTATACATAAAATTGTTAATTATATTTCAATTAAATAATCAAAAATTAGATTAAGAAATTAAATTGATAAAAAAATTATTTTAACTCTAATAATATTATTTATTTTGTTGTATAAATAAAATTTTGATCTGAATTTAAATTAATGTTTAATTGGATAGATTAAGATTTCTATTAAATTTAACTAATAATATTTTTATTTAAAATGAATTAATAATAAAAAAATAGAAAATTAAATATTTCAATTTTGTTATCTTTAAGAAATAGTAAAACTATGGACTTTTTAAAATTTAAAAAACAGATTTTAATTTATAGATTTAATTGAATTTGATATTATTAGTATATAGTTAAATAAATTATGGTTGCATATTATTAGATAAAATGGTTTGAAAAATAAAGGTCTTTATATTAAGGTTTAATTTCTATATTTTTTAATGAATACCATATTAATGATTAGTTTAATATTAAAATATAGAGGAGTAATTAATAAGAATTCTTTAATTTAATCATATTGATGTAAAATAAAAAGATATAAAGATTATTAACATTGCTAATGATGTATAAATCTTAAAATAACTAGATTTTAATAAATTTGAAATAATTCTAAGAAATATGTAGATTTTTAACTACCTTTAAGACTATTTTGTAATTTATAAAAATTGAACATTTTTAGTATTATATAATCAAACAATCTGAAAATTTATAAAAATTACCATCCTATTTGATAAATTTTCAAAGGATAAATAATTAAAGCTTATAGAAATCCACCATAAAATGTATAATATTAATAAATATGAGACCATAAGTAGGTTTAAAAATATAAGGTAAATTAAAGCCATCAGATAAATAACTAATAGAAATTGTAAATTTACATGGAGGTATCAATTGTACAAGTTGGAGTTAAGTGGCTAGAATATATGAAAGTTAAGTAGGAGTAAGAGTGAGAAAAGCTTATGAATTAAAGAGACTCTATATATCATTTACATAATATGATGAATAATTTACAAGAGAATAGTTAGTTGAGTTATTTGAATCTGCTATATAGAGTAGAGGGAATTCAAGAGCAGGTAGCAAATAATTTGAATAAAGAACTGGGATACATATTTATATTTCTAGATATACATCATATATTAAGGGATGGTTGAGATAAGGTTTGAAATATATGAGAGATGTATTTTTACCATCAAGAAATAAATCTTGGGCTTAGACAGAATTCTATTCAAAATGTTAATACATTCCACCAAGATCTGCATTTTATATGCTTAAGATTTTAGATTGTAATTTAAAAGACTACTAAGATGATTTTATAATAATGGATTTTTATAAATGTGCAAGTGTTTTCTAATAATTACTATATTTATATGCTTTAAATTTTGATGTAAAAAGTAGAACAGAAGTATATGGTTTATTTAGTCAAATGATAACAAGAAGAATGTATAAGAAGATTCATTGTTATGCACATTATTTTGAGGAACTTAGGAAAATTAATGTAACTAAGATTTGTAAAGATGAATAACTTACTCAACATCCTATGTTAGCTAGAACAATTAAGAAAAATTAAGAATCTTCATTATATAAACTATTATTTTAAGAGCATGACTATACTGTTAAATTTAAATTATTTAATGAATCTAATGATTTAGATTAGAATCAATTTAGTGTATTATTAAAACCTTCAAAGGCTAAAGAATAATTAAATGAATAGGAAACTTTTGTTATGAATTTAGTTTAATTGAAAGAAGAAAATAAAATAAAGAGTCAAAAGGTACCTAAAGAATTTATAGAAACAAAAAAGAAAGTAAAATAAAAGAAATATTTTCGTGGACATTTTATACGTGATGGAACTTATTCTTGTTGTAATTAAACAACTAAATAATTTGATTATGATTATGATATTTGATAAAGATATTTCTTATTTTTCAAATTTAATATAATTGTACAAACATTAAAAATATTAAGTCATTATTTAAATAATTCATAATTATATTGATTTATGTTGAATTAGATAATGCAAAGATGACGGTGTATTTTTCATTAATTAACTCCAATTTTTTATTTGAATGTAATTAACTATATATGAGAAATATTACGTATGATTTGTAAAATTAAAGCAATTGCTCAAATCAAGATTCAAAAATAAATTTAAATACCTATGAATCCTTTACAATAGCTTTACCTATAAGCAATTATCAAACACTAAGAGCAAGAAAAGGTGAAGTAAGAAGAATAAGTTTAAAAGTAAAGTAACGAAGTATAATATTATAATTAATACATTAGATTCTTAAATAGTAACAACTCTTATCATTAATGTCATATTCTACAGACAACCTTATAGAAAAGTAATTATAAATATTTAATTTTTANTATATTAAGGGATGGTTGAGATAAGGTTTGAAATATATGAGAGATGTATTTTTACCATCAAGAAATAAATCTTGGGCTTAGACAGAATTCTATTCAAAATGTTAATACATTCCACCAAGATCTGCATTTTATATGCTTAAGATTTTAGATTGTAATTTAAAAGACTACTAAGATGATTTTATAATAATGGATTTTTATAAATGTGCAAGTGTTTTCTAATAATTACTATATTTATATGCTTTAAATTTTGATGTAAAAAGTAGAACAGAAGTATATGGTTTATTTAGTCAAATGATAACAAGAAGAATGTATAAGAAGATTCATTGTTATGCACATTATTTTGAGGAACTTAGGAAAATTAATGTAACTAAGATTTGTAAAGATGAATAACTTACTCAACATCCTATGTTAGCTAGAACAATTAAGAAAAATTAAGAATCTTCATTATATAAACTATTATTTTAAGAGCATGACTATACTGTTAAATTTAAATTATTTAATGAATCTAATGATTTAGATTAGAATCAATTTAGTGTATTATTAAAACCTTCAAAGGCTAAAGAATAATTAAATGAATAGGAAACTTTTGTTATGAATTTAGTTTAATTGAAAGAAGAAAATAAAATAAAGAGTCAAAAGGTACCTAAAGAATTTATAGAAACAAAAAAGAAAGTAAAATAAAAGAAATATTTTCGTGGACATTTTATACGTGATGGAACTTATTCTTGTTGTAATTAAACAACTAAATAATTTGATTATGATTATGATATTTGATAAAGATATTTCTTATTTTTCAAATTTAATATAATTGTACAAACATTAAAAATATTAAGTCATTATTTAAATAATTCATAATTATATTGATTTATGTTGAATTAGATAATGCAAAGATGACGGTGTATTTTTCATTAATTAACTCCAATTTTTTATTTGAATGTAATTAACTATATATGAGAAATATTACGTATGATTTGTAAAATTAAAGCAATTGCTCAAATCAAGATTCAAAAATAAATTTAAATACCTATGAATCCTTTACAATAGCTTTACCTATAAGCAATTATCAAACACTAAGAGCAAGAAAAGGTGAAGTAAGAAGAATAAGTTTAAAAGTAAAGTAACGAAGTATAATATTATAATTAATACATTAGATTCTTAAATAGTAACAACTCTTATCATTAATGTCATATTCTACAGACAACCTTATAGAAAAGTAATTATAAATATTTAATTTTTAGAAAAGCTTGGTCTCTAATTGACATTCAAAATAGGATTACTTAATATTTTTAATAATAAGTGTTGAGAAAGTAAGTTGTAACAATTAAAAACTGTATTGAATATCATTTGCCCTATTTTTTGAATGTATTGGGTAATTTGATTATTCATGGATTGGATTAAATATAAGGAGAAACTGAACAGATAGTTTTACTTAAAACATAATTCATTGCATAACCAAATAAAATTACAATGAGTAGTTCTTTATTTTAAACACTCTCTTTATTATTGAGATCTTAACTTGTATAATATGATAAAGGTATTCTAGAATATTTATTTGAATATTAGGTACACAATTCCTTTCCAAATTCTTAATATTCAGAGATGACTTTTGTGATATATTCTTTAATACTCTTTATTAGTATTCTATATCATCCAACTAATAAGTGAGTCAATAATTGAGTTTCAATCAACTTTATTCTATGATTAAAAAAGTACCTGAAGATATTTGGGGAACATTTATTTTCAAAATGTTTAGCTAATAACAATAGAAATTGAATAAAGATTAGTTCTTGGTTCAATTCAATCAATACACAGTTAATATGAATAATTTCTTCAAAAAGTCTAATTTGATTTTTGATGTTGTAGAAAACACTGTCAAATAAACTGCTTAAATGCACAATGATTCAATTTTCTAAGAAGTATATAAATCTATTAAATATTAGTATCTCTTAATTATGGGAAGTTTCAAAGCTACTACTTAAGACTTTCTTAGAAAAGCTACTAGTGTATATTTTGAAGAACATAATGATGAAATTGATTTAAATGAATTCAACATCAGAACATAAAAAATACACAAATAGATGAATTGTTCAATCTTATATATTCTACCTATGTTATTATAAATTGAAAGTCATATGATTGACATGATACAATAAGATAGATATAATGATAATACTTAAGTCAAGAATAGTTCCAATTATTATTTGAAAATGATTGAAAAATTGAAAAATAAATGTGTGTATAATGGAGAAGATGAATGCAATTGCAAAAAGTGTCAATGTATAAGAAGGAATAGGAATTCGGCTAAAGAATCTTAAAGAAAGAAAAGAGAAGCTCTTGAAAAGATTGGTCCACTCTAGGATGCTTATGAAGAATTGTAAAAGAAAGTATACATTCTTAATTACAATTAGGTTAAAGTTATTGAAAATGAAAATGAGACTCTAAGATAATTATTAACTGAGGTGTTTAAACATCCTACTGTTTCATAATTATCACCAGAGTTCATTGAACCATTGACTAAGGTTATTTAAGATACAGATCCTGTACAACATTCAAATTCTTATGAATGTTGATTAAATAACAATGTCCCCATTAAGTAACAAATTTGAATATCTATATATATATTTATATATGGATATTTAATAAACATAATTTAACTTATATTGGATACAAAATCTTAGAAATGATAAGATGATAAAGATTAAATGTCAAATATTTATATTTAATAAAATTAAATCCATCAATTACCAGAAGTTTTCCTAAAAATTAAATACATATTTACTTCTCTAACCGTATTGTTAAACTTTTAAAAGTAGTATAAATTTACTCGAATTTATCTGATACTAAATCTAACTACCTGACCAACTCTTCAGGTTTTGGACACTCCCTGAATTTAATGGTCTTTATTAATGCAACAGTGAATTCCCTAAGATATTTAAGATTTAAACTTGGCTAACACGTGGGCAGCATCGATTTCAATATTTGAATCTCCCAAACATATTAGATTGGTAAACACATCATTTTCATACTTAGATCTTATATCCTTAAAGGCTTCTATCTTCCATTTACCACAATCACCAGGAAACATTTCTTCATATCCATGTCGAGCAGAGATTACAACAATTTTTTTATCAAAGATGACTTAAAACACCTTATTCATATACCTACTTAAATTAAAATATCTACAATTTGCTGCTGTATTCAACCCAACCCTAAGCAGCATTTGTAATTATAAATACATCCCCTACTTAAGAAGCTTTTTCTAACAATCTACTCTTTATATGTTTATTTAAATTACAGCGCTTTCATTTAATGCAGTCAATTATTCTAAAACATCAATGGGTAAATCAACAAATCCATATCCTCCTAAAAAGGTTGTACATAATAATGTATCATCCCAATCAAATATTGTCACTAAATCATATAAAAAGTATTACAAGTTTAATGCTTCTTTTATTATTACATCAATTTATTATTCATAAGTTTTTAGATGTAGTTATTACGAACATCATCATTCGTTCTTATTACATAATTTAATTAAAATTCTTTAGATGAATTCTCTTTCTCATATACTTACTTTATTCCCAATCTTTGTAAATAGTTTTATCTCCACTGTTTTCCCGAAAGTGAGTTCACTATATTGTCTTTAATCCACGCTTAAGGATTTTCCATCTTATCTTATTCAACCTTTTCCATTACAGTCAAACTTTAATTCATTTCTGTATGTTAATTAATATTATTAAATTGATAAGACACATGAATAGCCAAAATATAATTGTAAACGAAACTGCTATGTAATAATTCTGATATACAATTAAGATGTATCATTAAGAATCACAATATGATATATTATACTAATTATTAGAAAAGTTCAACTTGTTTTTTTAAACAAATATGATTATTTTTAAATATAAATAAGAATAACAAAATTATTGGCATTCAAATTTACATTAAAAAGAGATATTAATATAGAATTTGATTACATGTTTTTATTTTATTAATATTTAACAGAAATATTAAAGAACTCATTAGGCGACTTCTAAATGATCTAAAATTTCATCTTGGTCATTTTGTTATAGTCTTTTTTGATTTGGTTTTTTTTAATTTTCTCTCTTTTCTAATTATTTAACAGCATTAAAATCAGCTTTTGATGGATCTATAGTGATTTTTATTCCTAAAGTTTAATAGATAAAATACCTTAATTTTATATATATTTAACTTTGTCTTCATAATTTGTTATATCAAATAATTCTTTAAAATTGATTGTGCAAACCTCCTTTGAAATAAGAGATAATAATTTCTTTTACAAAATACCTTAACCAGTTAATGTTACTTTATCAAAATTTAAGTTGTATCCTGTTAGAATAAGAACTGATTATTAACTAATAAAAAATAGAATAAATATATTACGTTTAAGGTAAATACATTTCAATTTAAACTTTATCTAATGTATAATTAATTTCTGCTTCAACTCCTACTGCCTGTAAAAGTTTTTGAATATATTCTACAGAAAATTGATTTTTTTTAATAGAATTAGTATTTCTCTCTTCTTTAATTAATGATTCATGAATTTATGTTACAGTTGATTCTGGATATTATCTTTTTAATATATCATATATTAAACCAATTCTATTTGTTTCCTTTGTTTTAAAGGCTTCCAATGTTTTTCCAATTTTCTCAATTTCTTCTATAGGTTAATCAGCCATAATATAATAATGAATTAATTTTAAATTAGTTGAATGGCTTAGAACTTATTTTTCAACCATAGATTTAATTAATGATACAATATCAGGTTCAGTCAAACCTAATTAAATAAGAGATTCTAAAATATCACCAAAATATGTCTTATAAAATTAAGGTGATTTATTAATTCTTTCAAGTGTTTTCTAAAATACATCAACTTATTTAAGTTTACCACCTGATAAAATAGTTAAAACTTAGACTCTCAATTCATTATAAGAGGAATTAAATTACTATCCATATTATTCTAATAAAATATTATATACCATTTGATTTGTAATATGATTTCTTTAAAACTTTTCAACAACCTTTATCAATTTAATTAATCCTAATTTATTACCAATTTATGGGAATATAGTTACTAATTCTTTGATAATGGTAAGTTCTTTAGAATTCATAACTAAATCAAAATATTATCTAGGTGTTAATTTAGATGATATAGTTTTAATTTGATTCCTAATTTTATCAATTTCATTTTATGTCAATTTGAATAAAGTTGCAGCTTCTTAAATTTATTTAATTTTCATTTCTTCAGCATCTAATTAACAATCAGCTTTAATTTTTTCTTTTAATTATAAAACATTTTCAGGAGGATTTTCTAATTATAATGCAATACCACATAACTATATTTTTAAATATTAATAAGATCTTTCATTATTCAATTAAATGACAGCATCTTCAGGTGTAAGAATATTCTAATTTATCATAATTTAAACGAATGTTGAATCTGGATATGGAACATTAGGATTAGCTGTTCTAAATATCTCAGCAACCTTTTTAACCAATTAAGTAACATTTCTACTTGTATAACCTGCACTTTCAAATCTTTCAACGAAATTTACTAATGCATTTAATCTAGCTTATGGTTAAGTTTAATAGGCAGATAATAAAACCTAACATACCCATTAAATTTGATCACTTCTTACTAATCCAAATAAGCTTTATACATTCAAAGTTAAAAAATCAACAAATTTGAAAATTGGAATATTACTTGGATCTTTTTATAATAATTATAAAACTATTGATAATTTATCTGAATCAAATTCCTCTTAATCACCAATAACTTTACTTAATATTAATTTTGCTTATATTTTACCTTCTGATATTTCAGTTAATTGCAATAAAGCTTATTTACATCTATGATTAATACAAGAATTCAATAATTCCTTTAAAACTTTAAAGATTTCAATTTTTTTTGATTTAACATTTTCAATAATTTACATAAATGCTTCCTCTTATATTTAATATTTGATTTAAGTATTGATCTTAATATCAAGTATTGTTTTTAATAGAGAATGTGGATTTGATTATATTACTGATTTACAAATAGTCATGAATTTTTCTACATGTTCTTATGCATCTCTTTGAGCATAAATTAAATAATGTAAAGCATTATAAGTATTAATTCTCTTTGATTCTTAACTTTAAGCAAATTAATCAACATAATCTTTCATATTGATTCCACTTAAATATAAATAATTGAGAATTTTAACATTTGTCTCACCACTTTCTTTTAAAGCTGTTGTTAAATCATCAAACTTTTTATATGTCAATAGACTAGTAGATAATTAACTTAAAAGTTAAGGTTCAATTTCTTTTTTCTAAATTCTTTAAGTTAATTCTCCAATAATTTTTTTCATCAAATCTTAAGGGAATCTAGAATTATGAGAATTAGTAATTCTTTCAATAAGATGTACTAAGAATTTTGATGATAAATTATTTGGATTCTATTCAATAGTTGTTATAATCATATCTTTCAATTCTTTTACAAGATCTTAATCAAAATATCTTGGTAAACTTTAGTATGCCTTAAAAATATTAAGTACAGAATCTTCCTATAATAATTCAATCTTTTATAATAACAACTCTTTAACTTATTTAACTAAATTAGGAATTGAATATTTTGGTCCAATATTTTGAAATTGTACTTCTGCAAGATTTTTAAAAAGTAAAGATTTCTAAATATAAATAATATTTTACTTATTCAATATCTAATTCTTCTAAAAGTCCTTCCACTACTTTAACAGCATTATTAAGAATTGATATATCATTCTTTGAGACTGCACAATTATTTACCTTAACTACAAGTGAACTAAAGAGTTGGATAATTAAGAATGGTGAAAGTTATTTAGTAACTAGTAGTTATTCAGAGATTGATTTTGCTAATTAGTCATTTGAATGATTAAGTAATGATAAGTCAAAATATACATTACACATATTTCTAAATGAGAACATTTGATTCTCTGACATCTATTATATTCTCTAAAATAATTTTATTTAAGCCTATTATTAGAAATTAGTTGGTATTTTATTTTATCTAAATTTCCTCAACCAAAATAATACATCAATTACATCTTAAAATAATGAATATTTAATTATATACCATATTCTGTCAATTAATCAACTATGTCATTTAACTTTCCAGTTAATTCTGAATAGTTATTATCATGTCCCAATTATCTACTATATCTACCCAACATTCTCAATGATAATACTACATGCTCTTGCTTAAATAAATCTTTATTTTATTAGAATATTTGTAATATAGTTGAAGGACTATCAGCACTGCTTAATTTCTATATCAATGACTCATAAGTAGCAAATCCAAATCTAATGATTTTATTCATCCAGAATTAAAAAATTAATTTTTTAATCAAATTTAGAATTTTAAAAATAACTCATGTTCTTTTTATACAATCTATGGTTATGTTTATACTACAGGTATCCTTGATAATTCACATTAACATTAAAAAATAAAACCTTTATTTTATACTTCTCCATATCCTTAAAATTCAACAATTCTATTCTTTCTTTAAAATGATATTTATAAATTATCTATTTTCTCAAACCAACTCAAACGAACTGTTTCTTCTTATATATTTTTAGAAATAATTGGTATAGACTTATATTTAGATTTATTAAATTCTTACTTGAATTTCAATTCTCTTTTTATCTTCTATCTTTTCATTTAATTAATCAATCTACTTTTATAAATCTTGGTTATGTAATTATATTTGTATATACTTATCTTTTAAATTTTGATCTTCAATTATATTTCTATTAAAATTATAAAAAATAAATATGAAACTTAGCATTGCTATTATTCTAATTCCTTTGAAATAATTGTTATTCCAAATTAGCCACCTTTTTTTCAAGATCCTCCTTTTAAAATTAAACAACTTAAAATTTCTTTTCTTATTCTTCCAATTTCTATCTTAATTATTAAATCTCAGCCTTTAAAATGAATTAATCTTATTATTATTTAAAATTTGTTAAGGGCATGTTAACATTTGTAAATTGAGGATGCTAGAACTAATTATTATTCATTTAATTTAATATTATTAATAAATGGAAGATAGCACATTTAATAAATTAGTTGAAGTAATATCATTCAAAATATTAGCAAGTTTAATCTTAATTGACTGAATTGCATGATAATGTTGAATAATTTGATTAAGATCACAAAGATGTTAATAATTCTAGTATTGGTTAAGACGTCATTGATTTGTAAGATTAAATACAAAATCTTCTTAAATAACTATAAAACAATATGCAAAGACTTGATAATAATACAGGACATCTTTCAGGTCGTTAATAAAAGTATTAAACTATTAAAACTATTAAAGAATGAAACAAATTAAGTAATTCTACAAAAAAGAAATCGATAAATTTACTTAAGTATGTAAACAAGTGGAACAAAAATTACAATAAAAACGAAAGACAATTACAATGAATTAACAAGGAAGATGGAATGAACCTAAACCAAAACCTGAAGATGAATTATAAGAGTAATTGATGCATGATTAATATGATGTAGATAATTAAATGATAAGAGAAAGAGATGAAGATATTCAAAGAATTGTATTCATATCTTAATTAAATAGGATCGTGAAGCTTAAATGCTTAATAAATTAGTAGGAGAATTAGCTTTGGAAGCCAATAAAGCAGATGAAATTCTTGATATCGTAGATACACATCAATAGACAACAAAAGAAAATTTAGTCAAGGCCAATGTCGAATTAGACTCAGCATAAAACTCTTAAAAGTCAGCAACTAAGAAATGGATTATTTTAGCTATTTTGGCAATCATACTTGTAGGAGTATTAGTAACAATTTTTGTTCTAAAATTGCATTGATATTAATAACAAACACATCAATAACGATATCTAATAGTTTGTACATACTTAATTTTAGTATATGGTTTATTTGTGTTGATTTTCATAGCTGGTTTAAAAGGTAATTAAATTTATGATTATTGTTATTCTTCTGTTATTTTTCTTTCTTTTTATCTTGAAGATTCTTAAATTATTTGAAATGCTTCTTCAATAGTCTTAAGATTCTTCTTCTCTTTATTTTGAAGAGGTAATTCAAATTTATTTTAAGGCTATATTGTATTTATATTGACTTCCAATTCATTCATTATAGATTCTCTTTTTAATGTATGTCCTCTAGGTCTATTTTAGACTTCTAATATAGGTTGAACATATTCAATAGTCTCTTCTTCTTAATGTTATGATTATATAAAGGAGGCTTATTATATTTAGTCTTCTAGAATTTCTTAAAATTAATTAGGCTATTCAATTTATTCAATGGATAATTCATTATTATTATTATTCTCCTCCTCATTATCATCCAAAAAAAATGGATGTATTTTGATCTATTCAATATTAATTCTCTAATCTTCGTAAGTAAGTATTTTGCTAATAAGATCTCTAGCATCTTTATGCAAAGAATTAGGAATTGTATATTAACATTGTTTAATCTTCTCATACAAATCCTGAAATATAATCAATAAAACATTACTTATGTATTTTCTTCATCAAAAGGTAAATAACCACATAACATAGCATAAAGAATTACACCACAACTCCATATATCAGTTTTTGTTCCATCATAATTTTTGCCTTCTAACATTTCAGGAGCAGCATAGCAAGGACTTCCACAAGGTGTTACTAATAGCTATCCTCTTGTGACTTCCATAGAAAGTCCAAAATCTATCAAACAAATATCTCCATCATCTCTCATTAAAATATTTTCTGGCTTAAGGTCTCTATGAATGATCCCTAAACCATGCAAATATTCAATTGCATTTACTAATTACCTAATGATATGTCTAGCCTCTCCAATTGTAAGTCTACCATAGTATGGAATTTACCTCTACTACTCTACAATATAATCGAACAACTCCCCGCCTGAAACGTACTCAGTTATCAAATATATGGACTCTTCATCCTCTACTATCTATATTCTCTACATGATAACTTACTTCCTTCATCTTAACTATGTTGGGATGATTGACCTTGTTTAGTAATTCGATTTCCTTATTGACTCTAAATTTGTCTCGATCAGTCTTAAGAGATTCCTTCTAGAGCACCTTAATAGCCACCTGAAGTTATGTTACTATGTATATACCTATTCATTATTGCAAGCCCCTATGTAGACTTATGCAAAAGTGCCTTCTCCAATTTTCTAACCAAATTGATATTTTAACATGCTATCAAGAATCAGGCCTTAATACTATTAATGTTCAGTTCTTAGTTCTCTTATAGCTTGGAAACTACTATATTAAACAACAACCTCTAACATACCTATATCAGGGAGTGTATATTGTGGATATGACCCTACAGTTCATTCTTTGCATTTGGGCAACTTGATTTCAATCCTTAATTTGGCAAAACTTGCTTAAATAGGATTCAAACCAATAGCAATAGTAGGAGGAGCAACTGTATAATTGGGTGACCCTAGTTTTAAGATGGAAGAACAAAAGGAGCCTGATTTATTAGTTATCTAAGAGAATTTATAGAAAATAAGGAAATAATTAGAAAGTGTATATAGGAATATTGCAAAATCATTTCAAGATAGAATAGCCATTATAAATACTTGATAATATGAATTTTCATAGAGAGACAAAGTTAATTGATTTTGTTTCTAAAGTAGGAAGACAATTTAGAATGAATAGTTTATTAAATAAAGATGACATAAATAAGAGATTATGATGGATTATCTTTGACTGAATTCTTTTATACAATTTTACAAAGTTATTACTTAGCATATTTGAATGATAACTTTATAAATAGGTAATATTACAAATGGTTGTGATTTCGTAAAGAAACAATATAAGAAGTAGGTATATGGGATAACAACTCCTTTATTTACAGATAAGAATGGATAGAAATTTTGGAAGAGAGAAGGGAATGCATTATTTTTGGATGTGAATTATAAACATAATATGAAATAATTTTGATTGAATTTAGTATATGATTCAATAAGAGATTTTTTATTGATGTTGATATTCTTAAATAGGGATTAAATTGATAGTATAATGGAATAACATAAATAAAGTCCTTAGATAAGGATAAATGTTTGAGTGATGAATTACTAAAGATGATTTATGAAGATGAGAATTCTGCTGAAAAGAACTAAATACTGTATGAATTAAGAGGAGATAGATTGTTGAATATGAGTACATTAGAATTTGAGAGATTAGCTAATGAAATAGATAAGGATGTAGTAATAAGAGTATCAAAGTAGATAACAATGATAAAAGTATTATTGAAATTAAGATCATGGAAGTCAGAGATTCGGAAATTGTCATTATAAGGAGGAATATTAATTAATGATTAAAAAGTTGATTAGTTAGAATAAGTTTAATTGTTAAATGATAAATATATTTTATTATAGATTGGTAAAAGGAATGTAAGATTATTAATATTCATTTGATTTAATATAATATGTTTTTTGGATTGATTTAAATATTTTTGAGGATTTAAATATACATATCATTTAGATATATCTATTTACATCTTTTAGATATCTATTAATTAAAATATTAGTCTTGTTAAAAACCTTTAAATATTGAGGCTTCAAAATTTTTAAATACATTATAAATTCATTAATTTAATTAATGAGCGCAAAAAATGATGATTATCGAAGTGATTAAGATGACAAAAGTGAATCATCTCTTGATTCAATTGAAGACATCTCTGATTCTTCAGAGTCAGAACAATTTAGGAAGACAAAAAATAAGAAATTACTTAAGAATTAAAAGAATAAAAAGAAAAAGAGATTGAATAAATAAAAATTAATTGATACAGAAGCATCAGAAACATCAGAAAATGAATCAGATGATGATGGAGAAGGGAAAATAACAAAAATAGAACAATAATAGATTTATAAAGAAATAGATCTTAAAAGAAAACATCATAAAGATGTTGTTAAGGAAATTGAAAGAAGATATTAAGATGGAGATGGTTTAAATGTTGAAGAAGTTGAGAGATCAGATGATGAAATTGAAAAACCAGGTCTAAGAGATCCTAAAGTATGATATAATTTATAAATAAGTTCTGGCGTGTTTCATGTAATAAAGGAAAAGAATAAGAAGCTGTTACATCAATAATGTTTAAACATAATCATTTAATAGATACTAATCCACTTGATATAGTCTCAGTATTTGCACTCAAGAAATTTCCAGCAGCAATATTTGTAGAAGCCTATTTTGAATAGCATGTTATGAGAGCAATTGAAGGTTTAACTATTGTTAGACAATCCCCACCTGAATTAGTAGAATCTGAATAATGTCCAAATATGTTCAAACCTGCTGAAGTTGAATAAATTGATATTGAAGAAGGTTAATGGGTTAGAGTAAGATAACATAATATTTACTCTGGTGATTTGGCTAGAGTTATGTAAGTAGATTAAGAAAGAAAACTTATCAAACTTAAAGTTGTACCAAGACAAAAATTATTAATGAAATCTATTGAAGAAGAAGAAGAAAATAAAAAAAAGAATTCTAAAAAGAATAATTCAAATGCAGATTAATCTCGTTTTTAAATGAAAGAAGAAGAAGGTGAACCACCAATTGAAGATAATGAACCTTTCTAAAGAGGAAGCAAATTTAAGTTCTTAAAAAGAGCTAAATATCTTTAAGAATAAAGAAAATTTATTCGTGGACCTAAAATCCCTATTTAAATGACCAAGAAAACTATTAATGATGATAATGATGAACCTACTTCCCAATTCTTTTATACTACAATTAGAGATGAATGGACATCTGCTAAAAAAGATGGATTTGAAATCATTACTCTTCCAGTTCATTAAGTTCTTACTGGCAATATTAAACCTACAGTAGAAGATTTATAATATTTTTATCCAGATGTCTAGGATTATAGATTGATACTCTAAAAATTACACAACAGTTTAAAATAAGTAGTTGAACATAAATCTAAAATCTAAATTGGAGATTATATCACTCTTAATTAAAATAGATCTCCTAGATATAAGGTTGCATAAATCTTATAAGATGAAAATAAATTAATAGTAACAAAAACAGTTAAAAATAAAACTAATAAAGAGAAAAGTATTAATTAATATACATTATAAATTAATGATGCTATATTAGCCTTCAAACTTTATCAATAAGTTTCTATAGTTTCAGGACCTAATGTTGGATTAAGTGGTACTATTATAAAAATAGATGATTTAACTGCTCAAATATCAACTGAAGCTGGTAGAATTGTTGATGCTTTGATTTCAGATCTATAATCCTAAAAAAATGTCATTAAAAAAATGGATATAGAAGAGAATCCTGAATAGGGAATTGCATAATAGAAACCAGGATTCAAAAGAAATGATTTAGTAAAATTTGGATTGATTGATAATGATATTGGATGCATACTCAACATTTCTAATAATGAAGTCAGTATACTTGATTTAACTAATCAAATCAAAGCTATCAATAAATTAGCTATTAGAAATTCTATCAACACTAGAAATAATGTAGTCAAAAATATGTATGGTAATGATATTAGATAATAAGATTTAGTTGTAATACTTGATGGTTTCTATAAAAGTATTTTATTTTTACTATCATTTAGATAATAAAGCAACTGTCTTACATGTATATAGAGATTATTTATTTCTATTTAATGGTAAATTTGACAACACACAAGGAGTAATCATTGAAAAAGCCAATAATTGTGGTTTAGTTTCTTCTTCCAAAAAAGCAGAACCTGTTGTAGTAAACACTTAATCTCAAATATCAAATGAAGATTGGAAAAATCTAAGAGGATAAATGGTCACCATTCGTAAAGGATAATGGTAATCATATAGAGGAATGGTGCAAGAAGTCACTAGTAGAGTTGCCACAATCTAATTATCTGCTAAAAATTTGGTTGTTAAAGTTCCATTAGAATTTATTAAATCTGAAACTTCTAATTCGCATCTTCAAATTGGAAAAACACCTCAACATCATCCAGGTATGTCAACAAGAGTTTGGGACGATCTTGAAGGTGTCCAATAATCAGCTATGCGTGGATATCAATCTCCATATATCACTTATCAAACCCCTATGCGTAATGATTGATAATGAATAAAATAATATAATAATATTATTATTATATATTTTTGTTTTAAGATTAAATAATGTTATTTAAATGAATTTACATTCTTATTTTAAGTATCAATAAGAAAATTAATATAAATATTTGCAATAATAAAGAGATTTATTTTTATTAAGCAAATTAATTAAATTTAAATAACAATAGTTTAAATTCTTATGGAGCAAATAATTATTAATACTAGCCATTTATACTATTTACTTATATTGATAAGTATTTCAAAATAAAAGGAATTTCGTATGATTCTTTTACATAATCTAATTTTATTTCAATTTTTATGAAAAAAACAGATAATTATACTTTAATTATGAATAATTGATTCTATTAGAATTAAACAATAGAATAAAAGAATATCATTTAGATTTAAATATCAAATTTCTTTATAAATATTTTCCTATATTATTTCAAATTAAGGATTAATTTGCTAAAAAAATAATAGATATTCATTTAAAGATAAATATTATATTACAATATTGTTTAGATATAATTGATTAGATACATTTAGAAGATATTATTATGTAATTAAGAAAATAATATAATAATTATTTAATGTATCTTTTTATAATTGATTGCTAAATCATTTCTAATTTTGAGTTTAGAAATCTTGCAATATGAAAAATAGATTGATTCTATTGAAAATATTAAAAGTCAAGTGGAATTAAGTAAAAAATAGAGAAGTTAGGATTTAAAAAATGATTTATGTAAAGAAATATTTATGATTGAGATAATATTCGTTTTTCTGTTTTTTGATTTTTTATTAATATTATATGAAATCAGCTTTGTTGGTTGTTGTTTTGATTGCCTGTATTTAGGCAACCACAGTTTCTGAATTGAAAGAAAGACTTTCAGGATATGGAGATCATCCTTTTGGTTCATCTATGATTAACTTAGTGAGTGTAAACATGAAGACAGGAGGATCATTGAATGAATTAAAATAGCTCTTATAATAAATAAAGGATGAATTGATTGCCTTAACATAATTATAAGATTAAGAAAATGCAACATTCACAAGAAGAAGTTAAGTTGATTTGGCTAAACTCTAAGCAACACTTGAATAAGGTTAATAAGATCTTGATAATCAAAGATAAGAATAATCAAGTTTAAGTAATGAATTGAGTACATTATAAACAAGAGTAAAAGAAGGTAATGATTTTGGAATATAATTTTATAGATTAAGCTGCATTAGATAGAAATAGTAGAGGAAGTGGTGATGCTTAAAGTAGATTAGATGCTGAAAATACAGATTTTGCAGCTAAATATTAAGATTATAGTGATGCAATACTTGCTTGTAAAGAAGCTTAAAGATTATTATTAAATTTAAGAGGTGAAGGAGCATCATTAATTCAATTAACGTATTAGAGTTATTTAAATATTTAGTTAAGACACAAAGAGTAATTTGATTTAAACTAAAGAGAACTTTTAAAAGATTAAAGAAATATTAGAAGCCCATACAAAGAAAAGTTCTTTAACTTTATTCTAACCAATAATTGAAGGTTTAGCTGAAATGACAACAAAAGTTAATCCAGAAACTTTGAATAATGTTTTGAGTTTGGTTGCTAGATTAATCACTGCATTATAAGAAGGTTAAGATTAATTAGAATCAAATCACAAAACTTAAGTTGATAATTTAACAAGATTAGGTGATGATTTGAGAAATGAAAAATAAACTTTATAAGTTTCATTGGCTACTGCTAATAATAGACTTAAAGAGATCTAATCAAGATTAAATGAATTAGATGGATTAATAAACATCTCTAATGCTATTGTTGAAGTCACTTAATTAAATATTTAAGATGCTACAAGAATCAATGAATTAGAAGATTAAGAATACAGTAATCAAAAAGTTAGTAGGTAATCAATAACATTTAATTTAGATAAACTGAAATTGATATCGTTGATAGATTAATTGAATACATTAATCAAAAGTTGTCAGAATGAAATCATCATATTAATATAAAATATTCATATTTATCTAGAATCTGTTTCAATCATTCTATGAAATTGATCAAAATTTAAATTCCAAGATTCTGCAATTTTTGCTACTTCCAAAATACGAGTGTCATTAGTTGATTCTGCTGATTTCACTCTTACATTCATAGCTATTGTATCCTACATAATAAAATAAATTATTACTATTGCATAAGCCAAGAAAATGTCTTTAATAGAAATTCCTCCAATATCATGAGTATTCAAATTAATCTTAACTAAATTATATACATTTTCCCAATCAGGATGATCTAAGATTAGAATATTATAATACGATCTATTTGTTCTGAAAATATAGCAACTTAATTCATGAAGGAAAATGCTTCCTTAAAATTATTAAACTTGATTTCTCTATATAATTTTTATGGAGTCTATTATTTCTAAATAATTTACTATTTTCCATGTTGCATTCAATGAATGCATCTTACATAATGTTTATATATCAGAGTCAGAAATAAGTGTTGGATTTCTTTCCTTCATTGTTTAAAAATCTAACACTTTGAATGAAAGCTTTGGGAAATTTGATTATATTGTGCCAAAAGGAAATTTGAAAATTGAAAATATCATAAATTTTAATTATATTGATAATGATGATTAATTATTTTGAATTTATTATCATAACTTATTAATAATGGTATTTCTAAAAAATACTATTATTAATCAAATACTAAAATAATTTATTTTGAAATTGTTTAGAGTAATTTTTGTTAACTCTATAATTAACGATAAGAGTGAAATACATTTTAATGTTATGGAAATTTATTGTGATGACTATATGAACAATAAATAGTTTTCAATTTACTTAATTAATTATTTTATCTATTTTGAGTTATACTTTAGTTACTTGAAAACTTTTGAGAAATTATTCTTATATTTTTAAATATCCATTTTAGTTTATAATTTTGTTGTAGTGAAAAAATAGACTGAAAATATAGTATGACTGTTATTTCCTTTTCAAATCAATTTTGAACTAAATTTGAAGCTCATTAAATATGTTAAGATAAAAAGAAACAGATGATTCATTTGATTATCCTCTTGATTCTCCTAAGAGTCAAAAACACTATTAAATTACACCAAATGGAATTTATAGTCCATCTTTATTTATTTAGTCTAGTGCAAAATCGAAATCTATTTTTCAGAAAAGAAGTGCATAAGAATATTAGAAGAACTCTACATAACATGCAAAAATGAAATAAAATTATGTAAATGACTTTGACAATTAAATGCAAATACATTTGTATAGTTTTAATATTAACAATAACAAATGTAGACCAATACACACATCTTTATGTTCATTATTTAGAGAAGTATATTTTTAGTCTAATTGAAATAGAATAATATTGAAGTGAAACAGGAATCAGTTAAATAAGATAGTTGTATGATAAAATATTTGGAGACTATACAATAACAAATATAGCAATTAGAATCTAGTGTAGATACCTTAGAAAGGAAATTAAGTGTGAATATTTAAAAAAATAAGAAGCCTATTGAATAATCAAATGATCATTAGTTAGTTTATATAAATTAGAATGTTTCAGGATTAGTGGGTAGATTGAAGGACATTTTAATGCAAAAAAAATTATTAACTACATAAACTTAAACAAATCCTTAAGAGAATGATAAGTAGACAATCTATACCTTTAACAAGAACTTAAATAAATTCTCCAAAGAGTATAAATGTAGGTTTTGTAATTGCAAATTTGTTAAAGCTTGTTCTTTAGGGTAATAATATTTGTATATATATTAAGGGGTCATATTTCAAGAACTCATAAGGAAGAATCGAAATAATAAAAATAAAGTATTCCTATAAAGAAAAATAAACAAATAAAAAAAGAGAAAATTAACATGGGTAAGATGAAATGATTAAAGTTTATGATTGTTAATTAATATATATATAATTTAAATTTAAATTTAATGGATTATCAGAAATTATTTAATGTCATTCCAAAAGAACCTCGTAGATGGACTTAAAGTGATGTTGAATCATGGTTAGAGTTTATTGGATTACAAGATTTATCAAATGTTTTCTGTATTAGTTTTTAATTATATACAATAGAAAGAAATGCCATAGATGGGGCTTGTTTAGAAGTATTAAATGATGAAGACTTGAATGAATTAGGAATTAGCTCTAATGTTAAAAAGAAGAAGATTTTATAATGGATTCAAAATGGATTTATAGAATATAAATAATTTGTTAGAAACAATGTCGGTTAAAGTGAATGGTCGATTGCAAGCAAACAAATTGTAAACAAAGAAAATCTTGATTATACTCCAATTTAAAGATTGAATGATTTCAAGCCAAGAAGAGATAGTTTCCAAGATAATCATAAAGTGGAATTGGTAGAATCAATGAAAGTAGTTGAAGCACCTCAAATCTTAAAATAACCAAAATAAAATTTAGAAGCCACTAAGATTCCATCATACCCTAATTAAATAAAGTAGATGGAATCAATACATATTATTGAACTTGTTTGCATAGGTGATAATTAGAAGATATGTGTCACAGAAAAAGGACTTAGTATTGGAAGAAATCCAGATAATACTCTAGTGTTAAGTGAAGATTATGTGAGTAGAAATCATTGTATGATTGAATTTGATCAGAAAACAAAGAATTTTTATTTAAAAGATACAGGTAGTACTTCTGGAACTTTTTTATTATTAATGCAACCTTCATTGATGAGATTAGGGTTAATTTTACATATGGGAAGCATGTAATATAAAATAGAGTAGATGAATTGTAATAATCAATAATGTGATGTTGTATTAAGAGTAATAGAAGGTTAATAGAAAAATTAAAAGTTTTCATTTTAATTAGTTAAGAATTAGAATTGTCTTAAATTTGGTAGATAATTAGATCAATTTAGAATGGATACAGTAATTATAAATATTTATTAATAGCATTTATCTGGTATTCATGCCTAATTTAGTTACACAAATGATGGATTAATTTTGGAAGATATGGGTAGTAGAAATGGAGTATGGGTTAGATTAAGTGAATAAGGTTAGTGTAGTGAAAGAGTGAAGTTAACTTAAGATAGATAATTTAGACTTGGGTATGAAAAAATATATTTGTGTAATATAAATAATATTAAATGAATAATAATTAAGCCAATTCAGCAATTTCTATCAAATTAGTCATTGTGGGTGATGGTAGTGTTGGGAAAACATGTATTTTGATTAGGTAAGTATGATGAAGTTAAATATAGATACACATAAGACAAATTTCCAACAGATTATGTGCCAACTATTTTTGAGAATTATTGTGCATAAGTATTATATGAGAATAAAATGGTAAATCTTAATTTATGGTAATCTAAAATGTATATAAATAACAAAGGGATACAGCAGGACAAGAAGAATATAAATAATTAAGATCTATCAGTTATCCACAAAGTGATGTCTTTTTAATTACATTTTCAGTAGATGAACCAAGTTCATTCTAAAATGCTATTAAAAAAGTAAATATTTATTATTAATTATATATAGTGGTATCCTGAATTACAAGCAGATCAACCAAATGCTCCTAAGATATTTATAGGAAATAAAATTGATATGAGACCAACAGAAAATGTTAATGAGAATAATTTTGTTACTTACAATATTGCATAAAAAGTTGTTTCAGATCTAGGATGTAAGTACATTGAATGCAGTGCACTTAATGGAACCAATTTAAAATAAATATTTTAAGAAGCCATTAAATAAGCCATGAAAAAGAAATTCCCTTAATAAATACCTCAAACTACAGGACCAGCCAAGAATTAATCTGGAGCTCAAAGAAAGAGTAATTAGAATGAAAATGCTGATGCAAGTGGAAAATGTTAAATTTAATGATTGCATCAAAAAATATATAAATATATATATAGATTATTTTATAATGTTCTCTTTTTATATGGTTAAATTCAATCAATCTTTATTTTCTTGGATATCTAATCTACTTCTTCTTCATTATCTAAAGATTTCTTTTATTATTTAATTAGATGAGTGTTACTATGTCCCTAAACTGATTTGAATAAATCCATTTCATCATCTACTACATTATATCTAGATTATATCTAGCCTGATGATTATGTTTATGAACTAAATTATTATTTCATGCAATTATTTTTTAGATTCTTAAAAATATCATGTATTCTTTAATAATTTGTTTAATTTTCTCTTTTCTTTAATTCATCTTCCTATTAGTTTATTAATAAATTCTTACTAATGATTAAATTAATTTTTAACTTATTCCTTCATAAATTATTTTTATTATTTCTAATTATTAAGAAAATATTAGATTTTCCCTTAAACCCTTATAAGATAAAATAACATTTATTAAATTAGGGATTATCATCATAATTTCATTATTAATATCATCATCTCTAGATAAGCAAATTAGTTTAATTATTTATAAACATTTAGTTTATAATAATTTTTAATTTTCTTATAAAATAAAACCAACTTTTAATGTGATTTAATTTAATATCATAGCTTCTTTTACTTAAGGTTTCATAGCTCTGACTAATCCTTAAGTAATCTCCAAAAATTATTATTTATATTCTTTTGTGGATGTATGTGAAATTTAATTTGTAATTCTAGGATAGAATTATACTAAGAATAAATCCATAGTTTCATTCTATTCTTCTGAATTATTATCAATTAATAATTTTAATGTTTCCATATATAATTCATTTTAGAAAGCATTTTCTACAATAATATTGAACAATGGATATTTCAGTACTTATTAATGTTCACTAATAACATATTATCTGAAATAAGTTGGACAATGTTATAAACATACAATTAATAATTCTAATATCATATTTGGTATTTTTGTTAATACATCATCCTTTAATTAATATTATAATATTACAGGTATCTTTAATTTAAGTTTCTTAAATTTAGTTTTATAGTTCTCAAATCCTTTAAGAGAATTATTTATATAATCTTCTATTATTTCATATAATCCATATTCACTTAATTTCTAATATATTACTACTTTATTCAACTAATAATAATAATTATATAATTATACATCTGGAAATTCTTTAAAAACTGAACATATTTCATTAAGGAATCTTAAAGCTTAGAAATTGAAATTTCTTAATTGGTCAATCACTTCTATCAAAAAATCCTTCGAATTTTCTATGTACTTAAAGAGGTCAACATAACAACTCTTTATAATCTATCATGATTTTGATTACGTTAAAACTATCTTTATGAACATCAACTGGCACTCGTCGATGTAGTAGGCTAAACCACAATCGCGCAAGTACTACAGCCGATATATGAAATGAATGGTTTTAAGTCTCTCTTTACTCTTTATTTGGACTACTTGTAAGAATTGTACATGTTTCTCTAAAAACTAACGGTGGGGAACAAAATTCTTTTTATTCATCTCATAATCATCTAAAATAATATTAATACTACTATATACATTCTAATGCACCAAATATAAATAAATAATTTTAATCGTTTAATATCATTTAAAATAATTCATGTTCTGACACTGTTACTATCTAATTATTTATTAATATATATATACATTTTTTACAATCTAACACATTGTTTATAATAAATTAATATTATTGTCCTTCTCCAATTATTAAAATAATTTAATAAGCTTATCAAAATAGTCCTTATCAAATTCAATATTATCTTACTTTCTTATTTATTAAATAACTCTATAACATCTATTTAGATTAAGAACCAGATGCTATCAAATTATTCATTGTTTCCAAAATTGTTTCTAAATTCGTTTCAGAAACTGGTGTCAATGCTATAGAATCTTAATCTTCAGCCTCATTTTCAACCAAAATATTTTGAATACGAGCCCATACTCCCATTGCTCCTTCTCTGCTTTAAAAACTTAAAGCATAATCTTAACCACTATGGAATTAGATTGCTTCTTCTAATATACAATTTAAATTCTATTCTTACCTTAATCAAACCAAAACTCATTCTCTTACTTTATTGGTACAACGATTACTTCTTAACTTGTGTCTTTCTGTAGTAAAATTAATTCGTTCTATAAATCTCATTTTTAAACTCATTACCTTTGAATTGATATGTGTATAACCAATATCTACATAATTCCATTTATCTCCTCCTAGCTAATATATCTAACATAAAAGAATTTCAGAATTAGGTTTCATTTTAATATTTTAAATATTAAATCTTATTTTTATGCAAAATAAAGGAATGAATATTATTATTATATTACTATTCTAATTAATATATAATTATTCTCTTTATTTAAAATAACTTCAAATCATCTTCCTTTAATTTACTTTATTTTTATATATAAATAGCTATAAATATAGATATTTATTTATCAAAAGTCAATCATTTTTTCAATTGTATGACATTATACAACTAACATTGTCATCAAATCATTATGTTAATTCTATTATTATTAACTTTTCATTGGTATTATGTCATTATCTAAATTCTCTAATAGATCCACTTCAGAATTTGTTTTGAATGAACTATTATGTGAAATGCATTGCTTTATCTTCATATTATTTCCAAATTGCTATAAAATTTTCATTTTCTATTGAATTGTTGCTTTCTTATTATTTAAATCTTTTTATAAAACTCTTATAGATGTTGGTATATCTCCTTATTACTTTTATAATAAATCATTAGTATATAATGTCATTTATCCTAAATATAATGCTTCATCTGTGATTAAACTCTAATTTATTATAAATTATAATTACAATAATTTTATTTTACTCTTATTATTATTATAATAAATCATTAATTTATTATTATAAATATTTTGAATCATTTTAATCTTATAAAGAGGCTTATAAAACTTCACATTTTTCCTATAATTTTAAAATTTATTATTAATATCCCTTACATTCTGCCTCATATTATTATTAAATTTTTTTAAGTTAACAATTATCATTAATAATTGAATTAATTTATTAACATTATTTGTTATTGTCTTAAAGTAAATCATAATATTTTTATTCTAATTACTTCATTTAATCTATTTTACTTTTAAGTTATTCATTTTCTTATAGTAATGTAGAATTTTATTATATTACATTATCTAAATTTTTACTTATATCTAAAATTCTTTAATTTAATTCAGAATAACATTCTTAATTTTTAATATTTTTTTAAAGTTCATTAATTAATTTATTTTTTTCATTTAATTAATCCTATAATTCTTAAAATGCATAATTTTATTTATCTGTAGATTACAATTCAAATATCTTTTCCATTAATTATCTATTGATTATTGTTTATTCTTCTAATAATCTTAAATTATTTTATGAATCTCCATCCATTTATATTTTTCTATTATTTCTACAATATGGAGACTTTGATTTAGAACTCATCTAAGTCATAAATCTATCTTCATTAGTCTTATAATTAGATTAATTAATTAGTGAATTATTATTTTCATTAGTCTCATAATTAGCTAAATTAACACCAAATGAACTTTTTAAAAATTGTTATTAATCCATATTATCTTTTAATGTTTTTATTTATCTATTCAAAATGTCAACTTAATTTGTTAATACATTTTAATTATTTTAAGATTGTAATTGATTTACAATCTCTTATATTAAATTTTATGTATCATAAACCATCTTTTATAACTTTATTTAACCTTTAAAAGTCATTTAATCAGTATTTTAATTTTCTAATTAGGATTTCAAAAATTCAATTTATTATACATAATGTTGATTATCATTACCTCTATATGTTTCAGAATTATTATTTAATTCTTATAGAAGTAAATATATAAAGTATTTCAATGTAATTAAGTCAGTGCATCTATAGAAATCGAAACACTCATTTGAGAATTCTTAACAAAAACATTTAATTTTTGCTAATGATGGAGCACATTCATCTTGATTTTGATCTTTAACTAATTTAAATTGTCTTAATCTTTTAGTTAATGTTTATATTTTCTAAATGCAATTTTAATTTAATCTTGTTTAATGACTAATTAAACTATGCACTGAATATTTATCTTAATTAATAGATTGTTCTGTTTTGATAGGTGATTAATCAATTTTACTAATATTTTCTAATCTTTTGTTTATGATTGTTTCATAATAACTTTAAGTGTCAATTTATTTATTAGATCCATATTTTTTGCATTATTTATGAGTATTGAAAGGAGATAAATTAGATGTAGTTTTAGAAGCTGTAGTAGATCTATTTTCACTTGCATGATGACTATTAAGATTTTTTACTCTCATTTCTAATCCTTATACTTTACTTTATAAATAATTAGCACATTATTAGTATTCTGGACAATTGCTAATTATAGCAAATGGCTATCTATTAACTTTAGCACTTCCTTTTCTTGAATGACATGAATTTGGTGTTTGAAATGGTTTCATCAATTTTCGATTTTAAATTATTTCTTATTTTATTTTAACAGAATACAATTATGAAATATTAAATCAAAAATTATGTAATTTTAAACAAAAAAATTACTTAGAAAAATAAAAATTGAATAAGAATATATAAAGAATTAATATGTTAAGTAATCTAGTTCTAATTTGATTATATAATTTATGTAAACTTTCTGTATTCAATTTCACCATTATAATAAAAATGTTGTTAAACTACTAAAAAGTGAAATGGTAAATTTACATATATGAATTGATAAAATTATCATCTTTTTAGAATCTAAAACAGAATTTTATATAATTTATATATTATAAGTTTATGTCTAATAATTAAATTTAATGAATAAACCTTTAAAAAAAAGAAGATAGTCTACTATTTATAGATAATCAATGGCTTTATAAGAATTTTCACAAAAATTATTAGAGAAAAATGATTTATTAGCATCTGAAATTTAGAAAATAGTAAGGAAATTATCAGTAAAACAAAGAATGAAAAAAGCAATTAGACATATTTATGATGCATATTATTTAAGAACTATTCGAAATGATATAGATTTAACTAACAAAAAATACTTAAAATTCTTTTGGTATTTAGAGAACAATCAATTTTGGATTGGTTTTCTTTTTTTGTTATCAATTATCTATTAAATAATAACATTCTTTGAATTACCATTTTCAGATGCAGAGATTGAGGATGATCATAATTTATTGATATTAGAAGGCATAATTTTAACATTTTTAGGGATAGACTCAATAATTACAATAATATTAATGGTAACAAAAAAGGAAAATAGATTTGCATTTAATCCTAAAAGGTAATTTAAGTTAATTGTCTACTATGTATGTTTAATTGATTTTATAATATATAATAAGGATCCTAATACAATGAGATTTAGTAGAATATTTAGAACATTTATAATGCCAATGTATTCAAAGGATTTAAGAAGAAATTTAAAAGGAATAATGAAGGCTAGTCGAGATTTATTTCTATTAATTTTGCTATATTTAATCATAATATCAATATTTTCATTTGTAGGTATAAATTTGATTGGTCGTTTGGAAAATGTAGATTTAAGAACTTAAGATTATGGAGATTTTTTTAAATTTTTCTCTATGTTATTTATGGTGGCTACTTTAGATTTTTATCCTGATATTTTAATACCACCAATGTTACAAGGCACTTATTATAGTTTATTCTTTATAATTTATTTGTTACTATTTATTTTTTTATTTGCTCCTATTCCACTTGCAGTTGTATATGAAGGATTTAGAAGACATCGAATGGAAATAGCAATTAATGATATTATAAAATAGAAATCAGCTATGATGGCTAGTTTTATATCTTTAGATTTAACAGATCAAGGATATTTAACACATGCATAATTCTAAGAATTTGTTGAATAATTTTATGAGAATAGCATAAGTAAAGAAGATATGACAACATTATTTTCATTAATTGATTAAGATTTTAAGTAAAAATTCAATAATAATTAGTGATAAGGTTCAATTTGATGAGTTTTACAAATTTCTTCATTTAATTTAAGATGGTTCTATTTTTAAATTACCAGAAAGAAAACCATTAGAATGTTGGGAATCTTTTAGATTATATCTTAATTCAAGAGGGTTGTTAAAATTTGTAGAAGGAAATGTACTAAATAATTAATATATTTTAGGTATTTAGTATTGGTATGTTAATTATAACAATATCAAATTGTGTTCTTATTGTAACAGCATTCTTTATAGATGATATGAAAATATTAGATATATTTACATTACTTGATACAGTTTACTTGATATTTTATGGTGTTGAATGTATAGTCAAAATTATTGCATTGGGTATAAAACCATATTTTTAAGAAGGATGGTAATTTAATATAATTAATATAGGAATATATTTGATATATCTTTAGTGATTTTATAGATTATTTTTGATTACATTCTATTCAATATTGTATCTGGGAATATAGTTCAATCAATTAAAGCAAATAGATTATTAAGATTGGCAAAAATATAAAAAGTTTTTAGATTATTTAGAGCATTTAGATCAATAAAAATAATAAATTTTATGTTATCTGGATTAGAATTTTTGGATATTGTTAGACATCTACTTTATAAGATTATAATATGTGTTCCATTAATAATTAGATTAATGTTACCTGTTTAAATGATATTTTTCATATATTCTTGTGTTGGAATGTATTTATTTGGTAAGATCTAAAGAAATCCAGAGAATCCTTATGCTAATTCTTAATGTGATTCTAATTTATTTGAATATTAATGGGGAAATTGTAAATATGCAGACTTTACATCATTTTCTGGATCATATTTAATGATGTTATAGATGTTTATTGCAGCTGAATGGAATTAAGTTGTTTTTGAATTAACATATGATACTGATGATATGTTATCAGCTATGTTATTTGTTGGTTCCTTTGAATTTCTATCTATCTTTCTTTTAGCTTTAATAGGTGGTTTAGTTTGGGAAGTGTTTTCAGTAGTTTCAATGTAACTTCGATAAGCAGAGGAATAAATTCCTTAAGAGAATGAAATATCTTAAGATTAAGATATATAAGCATTTTCAGGAACTCAAATAGATTCAAAATATACTCCTGAGACAGCAGCTAATCAATTAAGAAAGAAGACTCTTATATTAAATGATGATAATCCAGATGTAATTAAATTTTAAAGGAAATTAAGATCAGATAAAAAAAGTAAATCACTTACTAAAGTATATAATCCATAAAGGAGTATTTCTGAACATTTAATAAAAGATGAGAAACCTGATTTAGCATTTAGTTAGCCAGGATCAAGAAATCATCTTTTACCAAATTATAATTCAAATCGTAAACCAGTTGGACTCTATAATACATAATTTGATAATAAAATAGGAACAAATATTGTAGAACATTATGAATAACATTTTATTGATTATTAATAATGGGTAATAAAATAATAAGGAGATGGTTTAGATATGAATTAAGTTGCTAATGATTATATGATACATTTACGTAATGAAATTAAAAAAGATGAGATCTTTTAAAAAAAGAATGTTAATATATCTAATCATCATTTACTTATTTAGAGTGCAGTATTAAGAGATGCTTCTGAAGTTTATATTAAATAATAAGAAGATAGATTTTTTAAAATGTCATTTGGAAAGAAATTTGAAAGAATTAGAGAATTAAAATTTTAGAATAAATTTAAAGTTGAGAGTAAAATTATATTTTCATTAATGGGTATATTAAAATTCCCTAAACCTAATGTAAAATACTATTTTTAAATTTTATACTTAATAGAAAATTATTTTACTTATTAATTACTTTCTGATTCATCTTTTTTTAAAATGATTCATCAAATTAATAATAAATGGTATGTTATAGGTATTGAAGATGGATAAATAAGTTTCTAAAAATTAGATGCTGGTCCTTGGGATTATTCAGAAGAATTATTTTTATAAACAAATATGAGAATATGTTAGAATCTAAGATCTTTGTATGATACAGGGAATTAAGAATGTCTTTAAAATGTAAATAAATTTTCTGAAAGTGTAAAATTATTAGCCAAACATTTTGATATAAATTTAGGATCTATTGATACAAATAGTAGTTGTCTTATGTATTAAATAAAAAATGATAAGTTTATCCCTAGTAATATTGATACTCATTCATGGAAAATGAAAAAATGTATCATTTTATTATTATTTAATTATAGCAAATGTAACAATAGATGATCAATCTCCTAATCATAATTAAATTGTATTCTTAGAATCATAAAATTTAATTAATGGTTAAGGTTTCAATAAGAAAGATTAATCTATAAGTTTAGATGAATATAAATATGTCAGTAAAACTATAATGTTTGTTTTGACTTAAACTTAAGCTAAAGAAAAAAGAATTATTTATTAAAATCTTATAATGTTAGCATAATTTCTATAAGATTTGGTTGGAGTCATTCATAATTATGAATCAAATTTTTTCAAATAAATTGATAATCTCTTTGAACTCAGAAATTAATAAAAAGTAAAGAGTGTACCTAAATTGTGATATTTAATAGGCGGTAAATCGATGCGCCACTAATTTATAAATTTTTATTTATTATAATTTCTTCATAATAATTAAAATAAATGAATAGTTGTTTGTAAACTCCAAAAACAAAATAATAGAAATGTCCTGAAGCTCCTAGAAAATAATTAAAATTTACATAAATTGATGATTAATAAATTAGATCTATATGTAGAATGCTATTTAATGATTAAATAAAACCAGAAATTACTATAACTTAAACTATTTGATTTTAACATTTTTTTGTGTATATATATTAGAATTAAAATTAGTAATGTCTACTTTATATAATTATATTAAATTTAGTAATAAAAATTAATAATAAAATTATAGGAATGGATTTAAGAAATAGAAATACAAGGAAGGTATTACTCTAAATGTTAGAGAAACATTTGAAATAAATAATGACTGAAAACACTAATAAAGTTAAATTTTAAGAATAGTTGACAAGATTTTAGATAGATGAAGATTAAAGAAGAGCTAGATAAAAATAACATAGTCCATCACCTTAATTAATGAGAACACATAGTTAATCAGATCATATTTAATTTTATGAGAGACAATAATCATAATTAAAATTAAAAAATGAAAGATTGTAACAATCAAAAGAAAAGTCTATACAAAAGAAGTTATAAGAAGAAATTCAAGAAGCAACATTTCATCCAAAAATCCTTAAACCTAAAAATTAGAATACTTAAAAGAATGATTTGTATTAATAAGGAATGAAATGGATGTAATAAAAAGTATTAATTATTAATAGATAAGGCTGATCATATTGATAAATTAAAAGAATCTTCTATGATTTAATTAAGCTAAGAAAATTTGTTTAAACCAATGGTTAATAAAGTATCATAGAAAATAATCAAAACAACAAATCAAACTGATTTTTTTTAGAGAATGAATAAAAATGAAGATAAAAAGAAGGAAAAAATCAAGAGACTTAAAACTGATGCCACTCCTTCTTTTAAACCAAAGATTAATGGTATATATTTTTATTTTATTATATAGATCGTTCTAAAAGAGTATAGAGTACATTAAATAAAGATATTTTATAAGTTTCTGTTAATTTAGAATTAATTGAAAAGATTAGAAATTATAATTAAAGAGATTTAAATTAATCTTGTCATGAATATTCTAGACAAAGAAATTGTTCATCAGCATTATCATAATCAATTGATATTGATAAATAAACAAGTGATTATCCAAGTTTTAGAAATTCAACTACAATTAAGAAATAACCAAAATTATAAATTGATTTTAATACTCCATCTTAGAATATGACAGAAATGTTATATGAAGCATTAGGTGACTAAAATTATGATTATTTTTGAATTTAACACTTTCATATATTTAAATATATTAATATATATATATATATAAATGCCTAAAATTAAAACTATTCGAACAAAAAAAGCACCTGAGGGATGGGAATTGATTGAACCAACAATAACAGAAATTGGAAATTAAATAAGAGATGTAGAGAATCAAACATATAGTGATAAAAAGAAACCAGAATAATTTTGGGAGATTTATAAATTGCATCATTAGAGGTATAAACTATATTATATAAATAGATCTCGTTATATTTATGAAATGTATTATTATAAAAAAGAGATAACAAGAGAATTATATGAATTTTGTTTATAAGAATAATATGGAGATGCATCATTAATTGCAAAATGGAAAAAGACTGGATATGAAAAGTTGTGTTGTTTACATTGTATATCTAAATCATAACATAATTTTGGAGGAACATGTATATGTAGAGTTCCTAAAGCTAAATTAGAAGAAGGTAAATTAGTATAATGTAAATAATGTGGATGTAGAGGTTGTGCTAGTGGAGATTGATATAATAATCTATAAAATAATACCATAAGTTTTAATCATCTATATTTTAAAATATGTTTTAATAAAATTCATTCTCTAAGATAATCCCACTCTTAGATAAGACACGTCATAAAGGATAAAATGGGAAGATTGCTAGTATAGGTGGATCATTTGAATATACAGGTGCTCCATATTATGCAGCCATTTCTTCATTAAAAGGAGGAGGAGATTTAGCATACATATATTGTACAAAATCAGCTGCAATTCCTATAAAAAGTTATAGTCCTGAATGCATAGTTTATCCTTATCTATTAGAAGATGGTGAAGAATAATAATTAGAGAATTCTATTAATAAATTATTGTCTTCTACTTAGATTATGCATTCATTAGTAATTGGTCCAGGATTAGGAAGAGGATAAATAACCAGTAAAATTTTGGAAGAACTATTCAAATAAAATAATAGTATCAAAATATTGGATGCTGATGCATTATGGCATATCTCTTAGAAGCAGAATAAATTGATTAAAATCATCTAAGAAAAGAGTAATCAATTTATATTAACTCCAAATGCTATGGAAATAAAGAGATTGTTAGAATATTTTGATATTGAATATTTTAAACCTGATTATGATTCCATTAATGTATTAAATGATCAAGATGTAAATTATAAATAAATTGGAATTGATAATGGATATCCAGGATTAATGGCTGAATTGAGTAGAAAATTAAATAATGTCATAATTGTTTCTAAAGGATAGAATGATATAATAACAAATGGAAAAGTTGGATATGCAGTTTATATAGAAGGTTCTAAAAAGAGATGTGGAGGTTAAGGTGATATATTGAGTGGTTTAATTGGACTCTATTCTTATTGGTCTTAAGATTAGAAGGTAGACAAGATTGATGGATGTATTTTAGGAAGTGTAGTAACTAGAAAAGCAGCAAAGATGGCATCAAATAAAGAGCATTATTCATTAACAACTCCTAAGATTATTGATCATATTGGAGATGCTCTTTATTCATTTGTTTCAGATTAGTGATTAATAATGTGTTTTATTATATATTATTAACAAAAATGGAGAGTTTTGATGATATGGTTGATATGGAAGTAATAAATGATTAAGAGTTATTGGTTAATCTCAAAAAGCGATATTAATAAAAAAAAATATTCACTTATGTTGGACCTACATTATTAGTCATAAATCCATTTGAAGCATGTCCACACTTAATCAATCTAGAAATTAAGAACAAATATATTTAATCAGCTATTAATAAGGAAAATAGGAGTACTCAACCTCCACATATGTATGCAATAGGTGCTGAAGCAATTAAGTGTTTATTTGAAAATTAAAAAAATTAAGCAATCATCATATCTGGAGAAAGTGGTGCAGGTAAAACAGAAAATGCAAAATCATGTATGAATTTAATTACTAGTGTAAAATTCGACACCCCAAGATAATCATAAGAGAAAAAAAACAGTATTAATAAATTTGCCATTGAAGATAGAGTAAATCTATTTAATTTTATCATAGATTCTATCTTGCAATCCAATTTTAGAAGCATATGGTAATGCTAAGACATTAAGAAATAATAATTCAAGTAGATTTGGAAAATATACTAAAATTTATATCTCAAAGAAAGATAAGAAAATAAAAGGAGCTCAGATATATAATTATTTATTAGAGAAAAGTAGAATATGTTTATAAGGAAAAGGTGAGAGAAATTTCCATATATTTTATCATATTTTGAAAGGAATGCCTATTAATGAATTATAATAATTATTTTTAAGTGAAAATGATTAACCAATCTAATTGAATAAGATATCATATATTAATACAATATAAGATGTAGATGGAATAGATGATAAGAAATTATATGATGAAGTTATTTAATCCTATAATTTATTAGGTTTAGAATCTGATAAATCAAATATTCATTAAATAGTAGCAGCTGTATTACATTTAGGAGATTTACAATTTGATGATGCAACACTTACTGATGATGTACCTTGTAAAATAGTTACTGAAAATAAGTTGGAATATTTGTCAAAATTATTATAATTAAGTATCAAAGAAATAAGTGAAGCTTTGATACTCAAATAAAGAATTATAAATAAATAGAAGATTGTTTCACCTGTTTCTTATAATTAATGTATCTAAAATAGAGATTCATGGGCTAAAGAATTATTTGAAAGATTATTTAATTGGCTTGTTTGTAAATTGAATTAAAATATTTTGCCAGAAGAGGAATTTGATGTAAATAACAATAATACCTATATTGGATTATTAGATATATATGGATTTGAAGTATTTGATAAAAATGGATTTGAGTAATTAATAATCAATTATACAAATGAAAGACTTCATTAATTATATATTCAATATGTATTTAAAGGTGAAGAAATTGTATTTAAAGAAGAAGGACTTGATAAATTTTGTTAGCATATCAAATATAAAGATAATTAAGCATTAATAGATTGTTTAGACAAACCTCCTTTAGGCATTTTTGATATTCTAGATGAAGTATGTTAAGTAGCTGGAGATGATGATTTATTAATTAGTAATATCAGAAAAAAATAAAAGGATCCTAAATATGTTTTATAACCTAAAATGCCTTCAACTTAATCTTTTATTATTGTTCATACTGCCAGAAATGTAGAATATTTAATCTCTGGATTTAGAGAAAAAAATGTAGATGAAATCAGTGTCTTAACAGCATTTTATAGTTAATAGAGTGGTAATCCTTTGATTTCAAAATTATTTGCTGTTGAAGAAAAATAAACATAAACAGTTACAAAGAAAGATAAAAGTTTATCTAAGAAAATAAGAACTTAAATGAATGATTTAATGAAAGAATTAACTAATAATTGTGATGTTCATTTTGTAAGATGTATTAAACCAAATGATCTTAAAAAACCATAATTATTGGAAGATGATTATGCATTACAATAAATAAGATATTTAGGTGTTTTAGATAGTTTAAAAGTAAGAAAATAAAACTATCCTTTTCGAAGATTACATAAATAATTCTATAAACAATTTGGTGAAATGACATCCAATCCTCTATTTAATATTTTAGAATAATAATCTGCTGATTTTAGAGAATTAAATTTGTAATTATTTCAATAATACTATCCTAAACTTGGACCTGAATTAGTTCTATTTGGATAGAAAAGAATATTCATAAGAATTGAAGGCATGGATATAATTTAATAAGTATTTACTGAAATTATGGAAAAAAAGAGTAAAATCGCTTTAAAAATTTAATATAATTGGCATAAGTACTTGATTAAAAAGAATTTGAAAAGAATACACATACATTATCAAAAGATTAAATTATGTAATTGGAGAAAGGCTTTAAAGGCCTTTCAGGATCTTTATTATTATTAATTAAGACAATCAAAAATGAAATTATATCAAAATTAATTGGATAAAATATTACAATATGTATATAGATTATAAGCAATAACTAATTTTGATTTAATAATGAAACATATCATTTTTATATAAAGATAAATAAAGAAGTGGTTATTTTTTAAAAGAATAAGAAAATTAATATTAGTTAAATTTAATATAAATTTTATCATAGAAAATAGTTGGCAATTGATAAGATTGAAAAAGGTATTGGTAATATAGAGTTTTTTTAGAGGAGCAAGAGTTAGAAGGATTCATAAGAATGTAGTTGTAAGATCTAAATAAGCTAGGATGAATAAAAGAAATGAATTAGCTGCAATAAGAATTTAAAAGTGGATAAAAGGAATACAAGTTAGAGAACATATAAAAAAATTAAATAAGGCTGCTTTTAAAATACAAGGTTTTGTTAAAATGAAATGGTTATCTAAAACTTTTAAATAAATAAGGATTAGTACAAATAAGATCTAAAAATTAATTAGAAGATATTTAATAAAATAAAGGGCAAAAAATATTAAAAAAGAATAATATTTTAAACCATTAGAGGAATAATTAAATGAAACTGTAAAGATTGAAGAAAATGATCTATTTGGAAATAATTTAAATTCATTAAGTTTTGATTAAATATTAAATTAAGATGATGATTAATTTAGAGATAAAGGACAATTATTTGATATCATAGTGGATTTAGAATTATTATCTGATATTGGTTGTTATTAGCCATCTTTCAGTTCTAATTATAAATAATTATTTTAATAATGTTATAAAAATGAAAATATCATTTAAAGTGTAAGAGTAGGTAGTTTTCATAGTATTGCATCAACAAGTTTAAATAAATTATACACTTGGGGATTAAATAATGAAGGTTAATTAGGATAAGGGAGATTGAGTGATATTCCATAATAACCTTAATAACTTACTCTTAATGTAGTTATGGATTAAATAGAATGTACTGATTTCAATAGTTATGTTAAATGTTAAGATGGAAAACTTATAATATGGGGAGCTTAATGTGAAACAATTAGTTATGTTGACATATAACCAGTAAAATAGATATAATGTAGATTTGATAAAACTTACATTATAAATAATTAAGGTATGGTTTAATATTGGGATAGTGATCATGTAATATAAAACATTGCAACCAATTCTCCCATTTCATAAGTGTCTATTGGATTAAATTTTATAGCTTTGCTTAATAATCAAGGATAAGTTTTGGTGAAAGGAACTAATGAACATGGTTAATTGGGTTTGGGAGATATTTTATTTAGAGAATAATTAATTTAAATTAAAATTCCTTACAAAGCAAATTTAATTAGCTGTGGTTTGAAACATCTTAGCATATAATGTTGTAATGGTAAAGCTTTTGTATGTGGTTGGAATCAATAAGGACAATTGGGATTGGGAGATTTCTAAGATAGATATAATTTAGTGTAATTAAAATATGAGACTTAATAAATATGTTGTAGTAGAACATCTACAATGATATTGTTAGAGAATAAATAAGTTTTATGGTGTGGTAGTAATGGTAATTTAAAATTCTAGAATGAATTCGTTTAATTGGCCAAGAAAGTATGAATTTAGTTATAATATAAAAGATGAAGTATATTTAAAAATTAAATCCAGTGAGAATTCAATGTTCATATTCAAAAGTTATTAGCCTAATAAATATAACATATATTAAGATGGAAAAGATCAAATAACCAGAGAAACTTAAAGGAATATTGGGAACATTAACTTAAAAATGGGTTGAGAATAATATTAATTCTATAGATCCTCCTATGATAGAGAGTGTATCAAATTATTTAATGCATTATCATATGAAAAAGTTTAGTTCTAATAACTCTTAAATTGTAATAAATAAAGTTTGTAGGAAATGAAAAATAAATGTATCTTTATGTATATTAATTTTTTACTTTTTTTCTGAGATTATTGAAAAATATTTAATATTTTCTTTTTTTATCTCCAGAAAGTAATTCTGAAATCTTTTGAATCCATGATACCAAATCAATACTCTGAAGTGGGTAATATTTGATTTTATTAGATTGAATAATAACTTTACAATGTCTATAATTCTTATATCCATTATCTAATTCTTGAGAATTTGCGTTATCAACACATAATGACAAATCCCCTTAACTAAATAAAAATCGAGGAAGGTTTAGAGTATAATATAAATACCAATCCTAGTGAATAACCTATTGAATCTAAATCAACCATAGAGTCTGTTAAATAATTTGCTGGCAATTTAAAACCTTAGATGCCAATTAAGAAAACAAGACGTAAGAATGCAAGAAAAACATACAATAATGGTATTTAGATAATATTATATAAGGTCATTGGACTCAAAAGGAACATCGTTTATATTTGTAATTTATAGAAACAAATAAGGAAATAATGATGAAATCAGACATGAAAAAACAAGAGAAGATCTTTAAATAGATGTCTCTTATTATTAAAACAAGATCTCCATCATAATGTAGATCACATCATCAAAAATTTAATCCTTTCTGAGAATATTATGAATTATTCATTAATCATTATAATTAGTTGCTATGGAAAGAAATGATTCAAATTATTTTCTATTAACATCAGAATCATTAGAACCTTAGCGAAATTACATCATTGGCAAAGTCTATTATTGAGACATCATTTTCTAAAGTCTCAATATAATGATTGCATTGTATCCATATGCTATGGAATTACATAAACCCAAACAATCAGCCATAATAAATCTTATCCCTCTCAAAACTTAAATGTCTTAATCACATAATTTTGCTATTGCATATACAGTCATTCCACTATAACAAATCAACATTATTATTGGATATAATAACATATTTTATGTTATTCTTTATGATAACTTTAACTCATATTCTTATTGTGTATATAATTACAATTCTTATTAATCAGAACTTCTTGATCTATTAATTAATTCTGATTATGTTCTTAATTTTGTCATAAAAATACTTACTCTAATAATAAATGATATCCCAACAATATTTAGTAACCATAATGGAACATAGAATAAGGAAATTGATTCAATTCTTACCAATTTAGATGGTGTACCTTATTCATTACAATATGAATCTACATCATCATTTGAAATTCCACAAACATATTTTTAGGTATTATAAGAATTTGTTATGACAGGGATTAAAGCAAACAAAATAGGAACACAAAATCCTATTAATTAAAAATGTCTTTAGTATTCACTCAAATTAACTCTATTTTTAATCACTGTCCAAAAAATGCATAAACATAATAAAAAACAAAATAGGAAACATGCAATTGAAGAATATTGAATTAAGAATCCTTAAGTTGTACATAGGATTTAATAATTAGGTGTGCATCCTTATAATATAATACTTTTACCTGGATCAATATACATTAAATTGGAAAGAGAAAATATGATATCACTAATTGTCAAACACATTATCAATTTTAATGCAAAGTTTTTTCTCATTCCCATTTTAAAATAAACTACAATGATAAAGAGAGATCCTATTAGGGACAATGAACAAGCTGTAATTTAAAGTATTTTAATTGTTTAATCGTTCATTAACAATAATAATATATATTTAATTTCAAAATATATTGCAAGAAACATAATCACTATCTAATAAATCTACTTATTCATCATCTTCTCTTTAAGGTCTTCTATAAAGATCACTAATTTAACAATCTTCTTTTATTTATTCATAATCTACCTCATATACTTATTAATTTGCTTCAATATTTTAAATATTATACTTTAAATAGTATTATAATTAAGTGTCATTTGTTTTTCTTATGAATAGTCTTACTCTTCAACATATCTACTATTTCTACCTTCAAAAACTGTTTCTTTCTATTAAAACTACTCATATTAAGGTTGAGGAATAGCAGAGTACTTCACTTCTGTAGTTTATAATTAAGATGTTGTTGTTCCTACATTAATTTAATCAAAAATTACCTCTTCCTCTCTTATATTTGTCCATAACTTCTTTTACACTCTATCTATTCACTTCATAATAACTATTCTAATTATTCATTTAATATTTCTCTAAAACTCTCTAAGATTATCTTGAAGCTTCTAAATCATAATTATTATTCCTTCCTTCATTATCCATTTAAACATATTTAGATGTAATTACTGTTGTTTATTGATTATTTTATGTTTATCTAGGTTTAGAGGATCGTCTTAATTCATATCTTTAAACAGCATCCTAGAATTCTCCATTACTAGTTCTTTAAATATTTTATCCTGTTGTAACAGATCTAACCTAATAACTTTGTGCTTCTGCTGAAAAGCTATTATTCATTAAAACGATAATTTTTTTATAATATAAAATTCTCAACTCTCATACTACATATCCATAACAAAAATGAATAGATATCTAATAATTACATTATAAGTTATTATATTCTGAAATTTATTACAAAATTACTTTGAAAGAATCATAAGAATTATAAATTTTACATTTATTATATTTTCATTTCTTATAAATAAAATTACTATATTAATGAAAAATAATTATATATCTACAATCTTTAAAGTTAATCAATCAAATTTTATTTAAATATTATTCTTAAAATGTTATAATTTCAATAGAAAATGTTGTTATTTTATTATGATATATATATATATAGTATAAATTCAAGTTTGATTCCAAAGAATTTAAAATTTATAAGTAATAATATCTTAAGAGAATTTAAAAGATGTTTTTATAAAAATTAAGTATATATTTTATATAATTGAATAAATGTTATAATCCATTTTTGATTTTGGTAAAACAACTTCTACTTTTTGGCATCTTTGCGATAAATCTTTGCTTGATGTATTATTATATATTATATAAAGGAATAATCTGATTTAATAGAGTCTGAATTTCTAGTTGGTTCTAAATAAAGAATCAAAAAAATATTTCTTTTGATGAGTGAAAGTACATTATTCAAAGTTTCTGTAATGTAACTTAAAAGAGCTCCCTTACTTACAATGCATATTTAATTTATAGATCCATCATCAGATCATTTTGTCTAACTTAATTCAGATGAGACTTTATATGGTTTTAGACTTTCTTATCAAGGAAAGAGTCTAGAGATTTTTACTTCTGATAAAGTTAATTATGAAATTTGGAAGTCTCACTTTCGATTAAAGTGTATTATGAATAATTTTCATGATGCTTTTTCAGTATCAAAAATGATTGGAAAAGGTAGTTTTGCAAAAGTGTATTCAGCAACAAAAAAAGAAAATAATAATTAATATGCAATTAAGGCATTTAGTAAAAGCTATATGTCTCAATAATCTAAAGGAATAGAAAGTTTATTAAATGAAATAAAAGTAATGAGAAGATTGAATCATCCAAATATTGTAAAGTTGCATGAAGTTCATGAAACAACTAATTCAATTTACTTTGTTTTAGATATGATTTAAGGAGGAGAACTATTATAAAGAGTACGTGAAACAGGTATAAATTTATTATGATTAGGTTTCTTACCTGCTGAGACAATGTAAAAGCTAGCTTTCAATTTGATAAGTGCATTAAGACATATGCATGAAAATAATTTAATTCATAGAGATTTAAAACCAGAAAATTTATTATTGAAATCAACAGAAAATAATTATGAAATTGTTTTAGCTGATTTTGGTTTAGCTACTAGTCTTAATGAAGAACCCTTATTCAAAAGATGTGGTACACCAGGATTTGTTGCTCCTGAAATCCTTGAATATATTGATGGATTAGATTTCTATTGTGATAAATGTGATGTCTTTAGTGCAGGAATAATCTTATATCTTTTAATTGTATTTATAATATTATTAATATAGACTGGTAATACTCCATTTGCAGGTATTGATTAAAAATCTATTCTAAAGAATAATAAATAATGTGAAGTTGATTTTAAAGATTAATAATTTAAATTGGCTCCAATTTTAATGTAAGATCTTGTGTAATCAATGCTCATTAAGAAACCTTCTTAGAGATTAAGTTCAGAAGAAGTATATATATATACTTAAATAAGTGTTTAAAACATCCCTATTTTAAAGAATTGGCAAAGGAATACAATAGATAAACAGAAAAATATTAAAAGAATCTTTAAGGATATTCTGAATTTAAAAATGCTGTTAAGATAGGAACTTAAGAGATTGAATAGAGATCACCCTTAAATTTCAATTCATCTGAATCTATATCCTCTAATATTTCTATAACAAGACAAGATTAAAGGAAATCATCAATTGTAGTTGGAGCTTCAAAATTTAGTTAATATAGTTTTAAATTATCAAAATAAAATTCAAGGGAGATTACTGGTATGTTAATTTTATAGTATTTAGATATACCATAGAAGTAAGAACCAAAAAAATAAAAGGATTTACATAGAATTGCTTTGACTAATAGTTAATTAAAACATATGGCAAATAATAAATAAGATAATGGTGATGATCCAACACCTGAAAATTGTAATATTGGAGCAATGGTTAGATAATATAATTCTACTCGATAAATAAGGATTCCAGATAGTACATTAAAAATAAAAGAGTGTAATACTCCCACACTATAAAAACAATGAATTAATTAAATTCTTTATATAATATAATAATGAATACATAATTAAGTAATATAATGAATAAATCATTTTTTTGTATTATTTAATTAAGATTCTGAATAAATTTAGTAGAAAGTTGATTATTCATTATTCAACAATTCTTTGGTCAAACCATATTCTTATACTTCTCCCTTATTTATAACAATAATTCTAATATATATATATAAATTATTTACTTATCACAATTAAGTATTGTATTAATTCTATGTGCAATAGTAATGACTGTACAATTTTTGAATGCTTTTGAGATTGTATCTTATATTTTATGTTCAGTATCTACATCAATATTAGCAGTGGCTTCATCAATTAAAATTATTTTGCTTTTTTTGAGTATTGCCCTTGCTATACATAATAATTATTTTTCACCAGCACTTAAATTATCACCACCTTCATATAAATTAGAATATAATCCATTTCTATTTTCTGTTAATTTATCTAAACAGCAATCCAATAAAACTTATTTAATTTCATCATCAGAACATTTATTTAATGGATCTAAGTTATCACGAATTGTTCCATTAAAAATAACTGCATCTTATATAATGCTTGTAATTGATTCTCTTAATTATTATAAAGATATATTTTATGTATCAATATCATCAATTAAAATTTATCCTTCTATTCTATCTAATAATCTTAGAATACTCATTGTTATAGTAGATTTACCTGCTCCAGTACGTCCTACTATACCTATTTTATCCATTGGATTAATTTTGAATGATATCTTATTCAAAGCATATGGTAGATTTTATCTATATTAAACACTTAAACTTTTGAATTCAACTGATCCTGATGATGGCCAATTGTTTAATGTAATTTTCTTTTCATTTCTATTTTCTTTTTCAATTTTTGTGAATGCTTAACATCTCTCAAAAGATATCATATCATTTTCTAATGAACTTATAGATTCAATTGTCTATTAAATATTCATATCAATATTTGATGCATATGTCATAACTAATCCTGCCAATGCTGGATTATTCGTATATAAAATACTATAAATAATAGCTGACATATTAACAATCAAACTAGTCAAACCTAATATCTAAGTAAACCAAGCATTAGCAATCACTTAAGCTTCTACAATCTTTCTATTTTCATCTAATTTCTATCCAAAAGTCTTTATAAATTAATTAACTTATTAATATGATCTAATAGTAGTCAATCCTGTAAGTGTTTCAGAAAAGTAACTTAAAATTGGACTTTTACTCATTAATTCTAATCTTTATAATTCTCTACTTGCTCTTGTATATCCTCTTTATATTTTCATACATACTCCAAAAAATATGAAAATAGGTAACAAAATAAGATATGTACTTGCATAAATATTTAAGAATATATGACTAGCCAATTAACTAACTTTAGTATATAACCAACTGATATTCATATATATTTCTGTATCAAGTTAATTAATATCCTTAGTTAATCTATTCATTATTCTCCCCAAAGGCACTCTTTCAAAAAATTAACATTAAGGTGCATACATTAAACAATCCATCATTTCATCATGTATCTTTGATGATGATTTAATACTTTATCTAATAATTGTTAATGCTCTTATAAATGCTAATAAAGCTTGTAAACATCCAAAAATAAAGTAAATTATTAAATATGAATAATTACTTAATTCATAAGTTGAAAGTGTCCATTCTGATAACCATAAACTAGAACCTAAGTAAGTCAAAATCCAAAATATCATAATTATTAAAACTAATATAAAATTGCAGTAACCACCTCCATATTCAAAGTATTAATTAAAAACACTGAGACTTATTTCACCTTTATGTCTTTCTTCTGCAATAATAATATTGTCATTTGCATTAATTTTATGTTCCTTTGTTGTAGTTAATTGAGTGTTTTCTTATGTTTTTTATATCTAAACATTATTTTCATTAACTTCTTCTACCATATTACATTTTTCAGCTATATTTTGAAATCTTTTACTCAATTTTAAATCAGAATATATGCCCTTTTCAACAATTTAACCATTGTCAAATAAATAAATATAATCAGCATATTTACAATAATTTAAAGAATGTGTTATTAATATTCTAGTTGTATTTTTTAAATAATTTAATATACATTCCTTCATCAAAAAGTTTCCAACATGAGTATCAACTGCACTTAATGGATCATCTAATAAATATATACTAGCATCACTATAAATAGCTCTAGCTAAACTAATTCTTGCTTTTTGTCCCCCACTTAAATTGATTCCTTTTTCTCCTATTACAGTTTAATCACTATTAACTAATATTTCCATATCTTATTTAAGACAAGAATAATGAATTGCTTTCTCATAACTTTGTTGATGATATGGCTTACCAAATAAAATATTATCCCTAACAGTTGCATTTTATATCCAAGCTTTTTAACTTACATATGCAATTTAACCATAAATTTACACTTTTGGACCATCTTTATAAATCATCTCTCCCAATAAAGATTATACAAATGATGTTTTACCTGAACCAACATCTCCAATAATTGAAACTAATTATCCTGGAGGAATCAACATTTCAATATTCTTTAAAATTAATTCTTATTTTTCAACTTAACTTCTATTCCAATAGAAATTTCCTTAATTCACAGAAATAGCAATTTCATTATCTCTAAATTCTTTTTAATTTATACAATCTGTCATAATTTCTTATGATGTTAGAAATTATTAGATTCTATTTAAACATAGTTTAGTTTCTAATAGTGCAGTAATTGAAATTGGTAATTATTATATTGTAATTTATAATATCTAAAATAAACTAATAATTGAAAATATGATTGAAGGATTCATAGTATTACCTAAATATATATATAAACCAAATGTAGAACTTAGAATTATTTAAGGTGCCAACCAACCTGAAAAAATTATAATAGCTGAATAAAATAATCTATCTTTTAAACATTTAATTTCTATTTAACGTAAATTATACACTTTTTATAAAAAGTATTCTTCTAAAGCATTTATTTTTATGAATTTTATTTAAGTAAATATTTCATTTATTTACTTTACCCTATTATCTTTGGCTTCTAATAATTTTACTTATGATTTGATTACATTTTCACCATTTTTTATATTCAAAATAATTGTTAATAGTATTATTATAAATCCTATTGTAAATGATATTCCTATTAAATGATACATTAATATCAAACTTATGACTATCATAACATATTAATATATATACTTAAATATAGTGGAATCATAGCTAAATTTAATAAATCATTAGATGCTAAAATCAACTTTTAAGAGTCAACTTGCATCAAATTTGTTATTTCTCCTATACTTCTATCATTATTACTTAATAAAGATATTCTGAGACTCTTTTTCATAATTAACATACTTATTACACTCATTGATTCATATCCAAGTTTTCTCTTTCCTTATTATTATATAATTTTACACTTAACATTCGTTAATGAGATTAACTCAATATATTTGATAATCTAATCAAAAATATTAAAACTATCAAAATAATTCCATTTTCTAATTTATGTTCACCATCCACTACACAATCAATACTTAGTTTTATTAATACTGGTAAAATTAATTACCCCAATGTAAGTAATACCTAAATCAATATAACTCTTATCAAAGGCTCTAAATTATAATTATAATTATATATTACTAAAGAAAAACTAGAGTAGCTCTTACATTAAATTTAAAGAAAATGGATATTTTTCTTTACTTTCAATTTATTTTAAAAATCTATAAAATAGTATTAGGGTCTTATCCTCATCATTTAAATCATCAATCATTTCAGATTCCAAAATGTCAAGCTATGCTTTCTTTACGTTATTTTATCATTGTTACTTTTAGTATAGGATAAGCTCTCAGAAGCATCATTTTAGAAATCAGGTTTTCATACTATTTTCTATCTTAAAATTCTAAGTTAATTAAGTGAACATCATATTTTTCATTCGGTGGTAATTCGTTTTCCATATATTTAAAATTTAAATAAAATATAATAAGCAACTTAAGTGATTTATAAATTCAATTGTTAAGCCAAATAATATGAAAAATAGGAAATGGTTGCATTTATATATGATATTTCTGAAGATACATAAATTAATTATTTTACTTATTTGCTTTAGATTTATGTTTCATAGAAATTCTTATATAATTATCTTTTTTGCATTCATAGTATTTCTGATTTCATATTTATCTTTTTAAGTATATCAACTAAGATATATATAATAAATTATACATCATAGTTTATATTTATTTTTTTAATTAATATTGACCATCTTTTGTATTTATATTGTATGCATCCTATATTTTATACCATATATCAAACTATAGCGTCATTTAACATCTAATATAAAAGCTAATAATACATTAAATGGAAATTTAGTAAATTATTAATATACTGTTTAAAATATTTTATATATGATTATTTTAAATTAAATATTATAGTTGATTACTATTATTATTGACTCTTATAAATTCATTCTAATTTATCGATACCTATTGAATATTAATGATATAATTAATTCTTGATATCTATAAGTATTTAAATTTTATAATGATTTTACATAGATAAATAAAAGGTATCTTTTTATTAGAAAATATTTGCATAGTTTTTTTTATGTTCTTCCCTTGTTTAAATGTTAATAATCATTTTATTTTAATTAGATACCTTAAAATTTCTCTCAAATGAGGGAAATTTATAGAAATTAAATCGAATAAGTAGGTTTCATTAAAATTTCATATAGACCAAGGATAATATAGGTTAAGTTATAAGTGGAGTCAATAATATCTTTCAAATATAGTCCTTTTTCAATTTCAAAGAAATAATAGAAAATAAGAATTTAATCAAAAGAATTACAATCCATAAGATATTTACAAAATTTTAATAAATTTCTAAATCAAAAAATACTTGTAATTGTAAAGATCATTTAAAGGTCATTTTTTATAAAATTTAAATTACCTCAAAATTAATAAGTATAATTATTAGACAATTATGCGTGATAATTATTGAATAACTTTAAGGGTTTGATTAATTAATTTCAATTTAGATAATGTAGATTTTTGGATAAATCAATTTAAACCAGGTTTTCTAAGTCTATTATTAGAGTATAATATTATATTAAATTTGATATTTATTTTTTATTATAAAAATTATATTGAATTACATTTATTCTAGACTTTAAGAATTCAAGAATATAAATAAAATTAATATATGTATATTAAATTGATGAAATTTATCATAGGTTTGCAGCACTACTTAATTCATTACAAGTATCTTCTAATAAACTTAATAGATGTTCTTCTGATTATTCTCTAATTTTCTTAATTTTTTATAATTATACAGCATCTTCTGCTTATTGAATTCTTTATTCAGCTTATTCTAGTTTTTGAAATGTTTCATTTTCTACTTCAATTTAAAGGGTTGATAAATGCAGAGATCTTTGATATAGTTCCACTACTTGGTGATACTTATTGATCGAAAGGTATNTTTGCTTTAGATTTATGTTTCATAGAAATTCTTATATAATTATCTTTTTTGCATTCATAGTATTTCTGATTTCATATTTATCTTTTTAAGTATATCAACTAAGATATATATAATAAATTATACATCATAGTTTATATTTATTTTTTTAATTAATATTGACCATCTTTTGTATTTATATTGTATGCATCCTATATTTTATACCATATATCAAACTATAGCGTCATTTAACATCTAATATAAAAGCTAATAATACATTAAATGGAAATTTAGTAAATTATTAATATACTGTTTAAAATATTTTATATATGATTATTTTAAATTAAATATTATAGTTGATTACTATTATTATTGACTCTTATAAATTCATTCTAATTTATCGATACCTATTGAATATTAATGATATAATTAATTCTTGATATCTATAAGTATTTAAATTTTATAATGATTTTACATAGATAAATAAAAGGTATCTTTTTATTAGAAAATATTTGCATAGTTTTTTTTATGTTCTTCCCTTGTTTAAATGTTAATAATCATTTTATTTTAATTAGATACCTTAAAATTTCTCTCAAATGAGGGAAATTTATAGAAATTAAATCGAATAAGTAGGTTTCATTAAAATTTCATATAGACCAAGGATAATATAGGTTAAGTTATAAGTGGAGTCAATAATATCTTTCAAATATAGTCCTTTTTCAATTTCAAAGAAATAATAGAAAATAAGAATTTAATCAAAAGAATTACAATCCATAAGATATTTACAAAATTTTAATAAATTTCTAAATCAAAAAATACTTGTAATTGTAAAGATCATTTAAAGGTCATTTTTTATAAAATTTAAATTACCTCAAAATTAATAAGTATAATTATTAGACAATTATGCGTGATAATTATTGAATAACTTTAAGGGTTTGATTAATTAATTTCAATTTAGATAATGTAGATTTTTGGATAAATCAATTTAAACCAGGTTTTCTAAGTCTATTATTAGAGTATAATATTATATTAAATTTGATATTTATTTTTTATTATAAAAATTATATTGAATTACATTTATTCTAGACTTTAAGAATTCAAGAATATAAATAAAATTAATATATGTATATTAAATTGATGAAATTTATCATAGGTTTGCAGCACTACTTAATTCATTACAAGTATCTTCTAATAAACTTAATAGATGTTCTTCTGATTATTCTCTAATTTTCTTAATTTTTTATAATTATACAGCATCTTCTGCTTATTGAATTCTTTATTCAGCTTATTCTAGTTTTTGAAATGTTTCATTTTCTACTTCAATTTAAAGGGTTGATAAATGCAGAGATCTTTGATATAGTTCCACTACTTGGTGATACTTATTGATCGAAAGGTATTATAAATAATTAATACATAAATATTTTGAATTATACATTTTGATATAATTTTATTTTTAATTAAACAATATAATTTTATAGAAATAAAAATAATCAATCAAATAAAAATTTTTAGTTTCTTTTGATTAAAGTTTGACCAAAATCTAATTATGAGATATCAGCAAAATCAGAATGTGAACTATCAACATATTCATTTTGTGTTTCATCTTTAGTAATTCTACTATTTCTACTTGATATTTGATTGATGTTTTTATAAATATGTTCAACATCAATCCCTCTAGATTTAACTGCTTTTACTAATTGTATTAATTTCTTTTCTTTTTCTGATAAACTTTGTATTTTTTATTACATAAGTTTTATTTGATTTTTCAATTCAATTTTTTAAGGAGAATTGCATTAAGGTTTAAATACTTCATCATTTTATTTTTTTTATTTTTTTATTTATTCTAATTTCTCTTAATATTATTAGATTTTTTGATTTGTTTCATAATTTTTGATTTTGATATCTAAAATAATATTTATTAATTATTATTACCGAATTGAAATTAAGTTTCTTTGGATTATAATTCTAATTCATGAATTCGTTTAATTAGTAATGCTTTATCATTTTCATTTTAAATTTCTTTTTAAAATTAATGATTATTAGTGATTTCTCGAATAATTTGAATTAATTAAATAATATAATTTGAAACTTCTTATTAATTAATACATGTTCTTAATCCTATTATTAATTTAGAGAGTTATTCATTTAATTCTTTGATATTTTTATTCTTTTCAAGACTATCTATTACTAATCTAATAAGTCTAATGATTTCTTTTTTAGAGGCTTCTTCTTTAAGATGAGCTTATTCATATAAATAACTTTAAACAGACATCATTTCACTACTTAACTTCATAGTGGACTATGTGTTTTATCTACTCTTATATAACTTGAGATCATACCTTATTTAGTTTTTTATCAGGTGTAGTAAAGCTAGTATTGGTATGATTGTATTTGGAAGCAGATAATGATTTCATTTACAAATTTTAATTTTTATATTAATTTTTATTTAACAGATGAAATAGACATACAATCCAAATAGAGAATACCTTTCAATTTATAAATAAATTTGTTAAGAATAACATGTACATTTAAGCAAAACAATAAGTATATTTTTTGTATAATATTTTATAGCATAGGGTTTGAAAGATTAATCACTAAGATTAAATGCCATTTTAATAAGAATAGAGGATATAATTCCATTATAATTATTATTAAGTTTGTGTCATTTTGATTCAATAGTTGTATATGGTAGATTAAGAAAGAAAATAAATAAAAGTATTAATAAACTTAAATTTATAATAGATGATTTAGTAAGTTTAGAGGAATTACAATAGATAATAAATGGAATATTAACAGCTATAAATTTAAATTTAACATAAAGTTAATTCAATTTAATGCAAATACATATTACTGATTTGATTTTGAGTCCAAAAGATTGTGAATCTATATCATTTGGATTAAAGAGTACAAAAACATTAAAAGAACTTAAGATTACAAATTGTAGTTTAACAAGTTAACATTTATAAATATTATCTGAACCAATTTAATAATGTGTTTCATTAAATTTATTAGATTTATCAAATAATTTATTAAAAGAAAATGCTGGAATGATAATTGGTAAAATAATAAGTTCACATGCAGGTAGAAGAGATGAAATGAAATGGGCAGAAGAAATAAGAGGAGATGGTAATATAATAAATAATAAATTATTAGAACCTCCATAATAATTGGCATTATAAGGATTATGTGAAATATTTTTACATTAGAATATGTTTGATGATAGATGTGTAAAAGATTTGTGTAATTTTTTAATGTATGATTCATGGACAAAGAATATTGGTTTAAGAGAAAATCAAATAGGAGAAGAAGGTGTTAAATTATTTAGTTAGATTTTGGATACAAANATATAATTTGATACTTCTTATTAATTAATACATGTTCTCAATCCTATTATTAATTTAGAAAGTTATTCATTTAATTCTTTAATATTACTATTCTTTTCAAGACTATCAATTACTAATTTAATAAGTCTAATAATTTCTTTTTTAGAAGCTTCTTCTTTAAGATGAGCTTATTCATATAAATAACTTTAAACGGACATCATTTCACCACTTAACTTCATAGTAGACTGTGTATTTTATCTACTCTTATATAACTTGAGATCATACCTTATTTAGTTTTTTGTCAGGTGTAGTAAAGCTAGTATTGTTATGATTGTATTTTGAAGCAGATAATGATTTCATTTACAAATTTTAATTTTTATATTAATTTTTATTTAACAGATGAAATAGACATACAATCCAAATAGAGAATACCTATCAATTTATAAATAAATTTGTTAAGAACAACATGTACATTTAAGCAAAACAATAAGTATATTTTTGGATAATATTATATAGCATAGGGTTTAAAGGATCAATCATTAAGATTGAATGCTATTTTAATAAGAATAGAAGATATAATTCCATTATAATTATTATTAAGTTTGTGTCATTTTGATTCAATTATTGTATATGGTAGATTAAGAAAGAAAATGAATAAAAGTATAAATAAGCTTAAATTTTATAATAGATGATTTAGTAAGTTTAGAGGAATTACAATAGATAATAAATGGAATATTAACAGCTATTAATTTAAATTTGACATAAAGTTAATTCAATTTAATGCAAATACATATTACTGATTTGATTTTGAGTCCAAAAGATTGTGAATCTATATCATTTGGATTAAAGAGTACAAAAACATTAAAAGAACTTAAGATTACAAATTGTAGTTTAACAAGTTAACATTTATAAATATTATCTGAACCAATTTAATAATGTGTTTCATTAAATTTATTAGATTTATCCAATAATTTATTAAAAGAAAATGCTGGAATGATAATTGGTAAAATAATAAGTTCACATGCAGGAAGAAGAGATGAAATGAAATGGGCAGAAGAAATAAGAGGAGATGGTAATATAATAAATAATAAATTATTAGAACCTCCATAATAATTGGCATTATAAGGATTATGTGAAATATTTTTACATTAGAATATGTTTGATGATAGATGTGTAAAAGATTTGTGTAATTTTTTAATGTATGATTCATGGACAAAGAATATTGGTTTAAGAGAAAATCAAATAGGAGAAGAAGGTGTTAAATTATTTAGTTAGATTTTGGATACAAATGAATCCTTAATCTCATTAGATCTTAGAGAAAATCCAGGATTTGTTGAACCATATTCTAAAGATATATTTGATAAGTTGGTTCGAAATATCAAAATATTTAAAGAATAAAAGAATTATTATGAAGATGTAGAAGAAAATTAATAAGATGAATATCCTATCATTTAAGAATAATAATAAGAGGAATCTGAAGAATTAGGTTAGTAGTTTATTTTAGTTAGAATGTCCTAATTGTAAGAATTTATTGAAGTAGAATAAACAATTGCAAAGAAGAATACAATAATTACAATAGAGACCAAGATATGATTCATAATTAATGAATTAAGAAATAAATAAGGATGATGAATAATAATCAGGAGATTTATTGATTTAAATTGAGAATAAAATGAATGAATTAACTACATTAATGGATATGTTAGAATAATCAAAATAATAATAATAATATTAATAATAATCTGGAAACAAAAGTAAAAAGAAGAAGAAGAAAATACTTAAGTAAACAATTTGATATTTAATTTATTTTATTATTGTCAGATATATATAAATGGATTAGAATATGATATATATATATATATATTTAATATAAATTAATTTGTGAGAAATGAAGTTGATAAATATTTTCATACAAAATTTAAATAATTTAAATATCAAATTAGAATGGCTTCTGAAATCTATGACTAATTAGTAACAGTTTTTACAAATACAGATAATAAAATCAGAAATGAAACAGAAAAACAATTAGTGACAAGTCTAATAGATAACTTTTAGAATTTTTAATAGATAGCCAAAGTTGCTATGTAATAGGATAAAAGTAAAATTATATTTCAATATATATATAGTGTAAGAACAAGCAGCCAGTTTATTAAATTCAGTTATATTGAAGATGCTAACAAATAGCAGTATTAATATATCATATTAAATTAGATTAATTATCAATTCATCATGCAAATTCAATCCTTGCAGTTCTAATGTCTTAATATACATCATTAAAATGTAAATAATCTTTAATAAAATGTATGAGTTTAATAGTTAGAAAAGATAAAAGTAATTACTAAATATTATTTAGGTGTTAAAACTGAAATAGAGAATAAAATGAAAGAATTTTTAAGATAAGATCAACAATGGTAATTTTAAATAGGAATCTTATTTTTTAAGATTTTATTGGATTCTTTAGAATTGCAAACATATAGTTCAATTGTATAAACTGGTTATGAATGGATAAGTGAGTTTTTTAATTTAACTGCTTATATTATTACTAAATTAACAGAATAACCAAAGGAATTAGCAGATGATTTCATTACAACTATTAGATTATATACTTAAGTTGTTTCTGATCTATGTGAGAAAGTATTTGATAAAAATAATAGTCAAAAAGAATAAACTTAACCAATACAAAATATTTTATTCTAATTAAATTCTTTCTCTGGAGTTCTCATAATATTATTATCCTATTCTCCATAAATAGGTAAATAGATTCAAAATTGTTCAATTATAAATACAGGCAATGATCATTTTGATAATCAATTAAATGAAATTAAATGTTAAGTGTTTAAAATCTATTTCTTAACTCTTTAAGTTTTATTGAACACTCGAAATAAGAATGAAGTAAAAAAAGGAGCATTTGGACCTTATTTAACAACTATAACATAATTATTAATCTATAGTCTATTGGCATATACTAATACTGAATCCATTCATTAAATATACAAGTATATATTTTATATATAATAATGAAAGTAAACCATATTTACCAACTATGATGACCTATATAATGAAATTATTAGCAAATTTAGGAACTTAAACAGAATAATATTAAATATTTTCTGATTCCAAAATAGCTTTAATAACAGATGCAATATATCCATTTTTAATAACATCATAAAAAGAATATTAATAAATGAAAGATTAACCAGAAGAATTTGTTAATTTAGCTTTAGATTCAGTAGATAAATAATAATCTGATGTTCCAAAAACAGCAGCAGCATCTTTATTAGAAACTTTATGTGATCATATTGATGGATCTACTACATTTTTAGCAAATTTAGCAATAATAATTTCATAGCATTCAATAAATATGATATCTAATAATCCAATTTAATTGAAGGAATAATAAGTTACTTTTGTTTAGGCATTGCAAGACAAGTAGAAATACAATATATATTAGGAAATTATTTAAAGAATATAGTCCAGTAGATAGAATTGAAAGTAGTTTAGTAATATTAACAATAATGAGTTATTTAATATAGAAAAGATTAGATATAGTTTTATTAATGGAATAATTATTGAGTGATAATTTATTATTCTTTTAGAATGTTTAAGATTAAATAATAAAATTAAGACTTTCTTTATTTTTTGGATATTATTGTGATAATTTATTTAAAAAGGATACATAATCTTAAAATATGAATGCATATTTATAAATAATGATTAGTTTTGTTTAACCATAAGAACCTGTAGTATTATATTAATCAATTGATGCATTAAAAGACATATTTGAAGATGATGATCTTAAAATAAAAACTAAAGATTTAGTAGTATTACTATTCCCATAATTATGTAATGCACTTTAATATAGTACATATGAGAGACATTTTGAAACAATAACAAATTTATTAAAAAGATATCCATATTAATTTTTATAAAATGATAATTTATTGATTGGTTTAATATAAGTTTTGACTTAAAGAGTTATTATAGAATAATAAAAAATAAATTCTGGTGATTAATAAAGACATATATATTTAAATAGATGTTGGAATGTTCTTAGATCATTAGCTGATCAAGATGAATTTAGTGAAGTTTTAGGAAAATTAGAGTAACATTTAGGATAATTGTATTCAATGTTAGCTAATTGTGATAAAATAGATTTTGATGAAGATTTAGTATTATTTATTTCTGGATGTATATCTAAATTATCAATTGTAACAGAATTATAGATGTAAATCTTACCATACTTTTAGAATATTATTAAAAAGTAATAGGGAAGATTATGTAATCTATTTGAAACACTAAATTAATATATGCATTTTGGAAGAAACTATTTTATTAATGAAGCATAACAATCTATTTACTTTTAATTAGCATTTTAGAATCTATAAAATGAAGATAATTATGGTGATATTGAATAAGGAGAAGGAGCCTTATTAATTTAATTAGGAATATAAGAATTACATGATGATCTTAAGATTAATATACTCTCTTAAATCCTTTTCTAAACTATTACAATATTATAAAAACCAGATATTAATGAACATTTAAGGTCTAGAATAACTGGTATTATATTGAGTTCACTATATAAAATACCTGAAAAAACATATGAAGTTTTATCTGAAGTTTTTCCTGCTGTTTATAATCGCATTTTAGATACACAATATTCTCCAGGTTATGATATCAAATTATTTATTATTACAATGTCATCTTTGATTATGAAATAACCTAATCTTTTAACATCCAATTTATTGACTATAATGGTCAATAATTTAATTGCTTAAGAGAAATATGAAAAAGATTAAAAATTTAAATAAAATGAGTAATTTATCTTTATTTAAAAATAGTTATATGGATGATGAATTAGATGATGAAGATGATAGCGATTTCAATGATGAAGAAGAAATAACATAAGCTTAACAATAAACAGAATAATTCTTAAGTTCTATAGTAAAATTAGATGAATATTCTTTATTTAAATAAACCATCTTATGCTTTAAGAATTTGTATATTTATTTAATTATATATTTTTTAGATATCCATAAATTATTGATTAATTAAGAAATGGATTAGACTAATAAATAATCAATAAAATAAATGAATAATTATAATTTATTAGAGTAGAAACTCAAGATGGAGAAGAACTTAGAAAATTTCGACAATTAAAAAATTGCAATCGCAAAAAGTAATTTAATAATTGATTATTTTGATTTATTATTATTATAATATATTTATACATATCTACATTTTTTACATCATTTTTAATAAATGACATGATTGATTCGTTAACATTACATAAATTTAATCAAATCACACAATATACAACAATAATTTTATAATTAATTGTTTCTTTCCAATGCTTAACT